AATGTTGTAAGAAAAATGGAAATATTAAAAAATGTAATTTTAAGATATTATATATTGTAATTTATTAATGTAAATTTTTATATTGGTAATGTAATCATTAGATAACGTAAAGAAAATGTAAACATAATTATATAAAATGTACAACGAAAAATGTGACAGATAGACAATGGAATGCGTATAAGAAGTGAAAATGAAAATATATCGGAAAAAAGTGAAGAAATAAAATATAATAATAGGCATATAAGTAAAATATAAGGGAATTAAAGTATAAGTATAAGAAGGGAACAGAAACGAATATTATATAATTATGGAAAACGAAACATGAATCCAACATTACAAATAGTAAAAAAAAAAAGATAATTGGAAAAATAGCAAAATAGCCTAAAAAATGTCCCTGACAATTACTCGTCAGGGGAACACGCAATATATTAAAAAAAAAAAAAAAAAAACTGCACCCCCACCCCTATCCGGACGCCTCCAACCACGATGTGGGCGTCAACGGGTGGCGCTCTCCGCGGCCCGTGAAACCACAAGCCTCGGATTTACTGAGCACCACGTCGAGACCCAGCCTCTTTATCCTTCCGACGACGAGGGCCACTCCCGCTGTAGCGAGACGGGCAGACTCTCTATAATCATCCCCCGGGGCCACGACCAACGTGTCGTCCGCGTAACAAATAACGCGGAGGCCCGGGAGGAGAGCGCCCCTTAGCACCCAGTCGTACCCGAAATTCCACAAGAGGGGGCCGAGAACCGACCCCTGCGGAACACCACGCACGACCGGAAAACGATGAAGGGTCCCACCGTACCCGGTACATACGACCAACATGGCCCCCAAATAGGACCCAACCAGCCAGCGGAGGTAGAGGGGCATCCCACGCCTCTCCAGTGCCCCCCCTATCACGTTCCAGGGCAGAGTGTTAAATGCGTTGGCGATGTCAAGAGACACCGCCAGCGCCACCCCACCCCGAGAAACGGCCTCGTCCGAGAGGGACCGCACGCGAAGAATTGCACCCACGGTCGAACGGCCCTCCCGGAAGCCGTACTGCTCCGCCGACATCCGGTAACCACTTAGCACGATTTGGTTCATTAACACATCTAAAGTAAAAATAAATGATCCAAATTAACCCCATGTCTTGAAGATCTATGAGTTTCAATTAAAACTAGACGAACAGAGACCTCGTCTAATCGTTTTAAAAAATACCGGTATCCTAAACAAGAATAATCGAATAAGGCACTTACTTACTGGTACTTATCTGTCACCAAATAAAAGATTGATGAAAGATGCTTAAAAGGAAAACGAAATACCCCTTTATTTAAGACTAGTGAAGCCCGATCATACTCCACTGTGAATACGACCAATACACCTTATATTAATAGTATACACGTTTTTAAATTACCATAATTTGCAAACGCTTTTAAAAAAACTCACCAAACCTCCACCGACAACAACCACATCTAGTTTCTTGAACGTTCCATTCTCTAAATTCGCCATCGCTGTGCTGTATGTAATATTTTACAAAAATAATACTGAATAGATATTGAACGATTTAATTGAAATATATTATTATTTAACTGAAATATATTAAATAATATATTTCAATTAATTATCACATATAGAGCGATGTTTCCGAGTGTCGGTCTCGAATTCAACTGATGTCTTCAGTGAGTTACACACAACGTCAGACACTACAAGGAACTAAATAGCATTTTCACATTGATGCATAATATTACGTTATTTCGAGCGTATCCAGTTTTTAATAAGTAAATACATTTTTACATTCTTATGATAACGTTCAAATATGTTTATTAATTTTTTAAGTTCTACATACACCGTGTGGATTTTTTTTTTAATTGCATGAAAGGCTTACCTGGTGCTAAGTGGCTATCGGAGCCCATCGACATCACTAGGTGAATGAACACACTTGGAAAAGACGAAGACTCAGTCATGCCATTCTTACCCACCGTTCAAACCGGACCGCACGATTGCTTCTCGGCAGAATTAGACTTGATGCTGGTACCTATCTGTGCGAGCTTCCAATACGTCCTAAAGTTATATATTTCCTAAAGAAACTCTTTCAGCAGACTTGAGAGAGAGAAATCCCTTTTTACTACACTCCGGTGGTAGATTCTGCAAAGCACTACTCTTGTTATGACTAGTTCTGTTAGGTTGAGCCCATTAGCTCATCTACCCGTCCTCGAGAAGCTGACCCTTTAGCCTACCATCTAATGGGTAGGAAAAAATATAAACTACTAGCTGACCCGGCAGACTTCGTAGTGCCTCAATCGATAACTAAAAGATCTAAACTTTTGTATAAAATAAACTTAAACCAAACAAAAGGAATCCGTCCGACGGGGGACACATCAAAGGAAAAACAAAATTGATATTTTTATTTAATTCCAGAGCATTTTCATATTTATCTACCTTTTAAACATTTTCTGGACTTCCACAAATAATTCAAAACCAAAATTAGCCAAATCGGTCCAGCCGTTCTCAAGTTTTAGCGAGACTAACGAACAGCAATTCATTTTTATATATATATAGATACTCCATATGTCGCAGTGGGCAGAGGTCACTTTGCCACTATTAACTCCGAAATAATGTAATGCGTGAGTGCAATATCCGTCTTACGAACTTTTTTAACTATTTTTTACAATATTTAATACAACTTTATTTTAACAATAATTTCACTATTCTTTATCAACAATGTAAAACAGTTACGTCATTGGTAATAACATTTCGTATATACTTCTTTATCTTAATCACAATTATGTTTATATTTTAAATTTTGTCTCTAGCTTTGTTCCGGCTCAAATACGAAACGTTTTGACAGATTTTGACCGGACTTTCACTGGTAAATAGCTGTTATAAGGAGTAACTTGAACTATTTTATTTTTGAGAAAGAAATCGAAATTCGATCATAACAATTTAGACCCATGAAATTCAGAACAACGTCTGATTTGAATTGTTCTCTGTTCTCGTAATATTAATATCAGACGGGGTAGCAGAAAAACGTGGGATTAGCTGGTCATAAAACTAATCCTGTGTCTTAACTATTGGAATATATATTAATGCTTTTTTAGTCCTACTTTTTGTACTGTGTGTTATACTATCGTCCCCACTGAATATTCATGAGGCAGAATATGCGTATATAAAAAGAACTATGTTGCAATAAGTCATATCATGATACCATCTACCTTGTCTGAAAATATAGACAAAATATATGTATCGACCTGCGTCAATAACTGAATTAATAAGCGTGTTTTTATACGTTTTACTGATATTGCATAACATGTTACAACCTTCGGTTTCCTACGTACCTCATTATCAATCTCGATTAACTTCACTAATTAAATTTAACAAAACCCGTTTATATATAATATTTAAAATCATATGATTTTAATTATAGATCTGATAAATTTTTTTGGATTGAACGTCCATCAAATGTTTTTATGACGCTTACTGTTTTGTATAACAATTTTTTTTGAGTTTCATGACCTTGCAAGGGCAGGAATGTACATCTTGAGCGATCAATGCCCAGATCAAGACGTCTTTACGCTTTTATCTCCAAACCGAGTGGTGGGGCGTCTTGAGAGCCTGTACGGATAGGTACCCATCACCACCTTGCCTATTTCAGCCGCGAAGCAATAATGTGTTCCGGTTTTAAGAGTGGGACCTTTTTTTGAACCGAAAAAATTATACTAAATATTACTTTTGCGGTTTCATATTTAAAATTAAAGGTTTTATTCGTCGACATTTAAATATTATGCTAGCTATTTTTGTATTATTATTGCTTAGATGGGTAGACGAGCTCACAGCCCACCTGGTGTTAAGTGGTTTCTGGAGCCCATAAACATCTACAACGTAAATGCGCCTTGAGATATAAGTTCTTAGGTCTCAGTATAGTTACAACGGCTACCCCACCCTTCAAACCGAAACGCATTACTGCTTCACGGCAGAAATAGGCGGGTTGGTGGTACCTACTCGTGCGGGCTCACAAGAGGTCCTACCACCAGTAATTACGCAAATTATAATTTTGCGGGTTTTTTATGTTTATTACACGATGTTATTCCTTCACTGTGGAAATCAATCGTGAACACTTGTTAAGTAGGTACGTATTTCATTAGAAAAATTGGTACCCGCCTGCGGATTCGAACACCGGTGCATCGCTCGATACGAATGCACCGGACGTCTTATCCTTTAGGCCACGACGACTTAAGCTACCGTTTGCTTTTCTATAAAAAATATTTCTAGATTTTTATAATGTTTCATTTCAAACCGAATAATAATAACACTTTAGTCGTCGTTCGTTTCGTGATCACACGAAAACTGTAGTTTACGAAACGTCGGAAATAATTTAATAAGAATAAGAAACGCAAGATAAAAGCGTAAAAATTAGCGTTTTAACCATACTTTATAATAACGATTGTTTGCCCTTAAACACGAACTCAAATGTAAGTAAAGAACTAATCCATCATCCAACCTATGGAAATTCTTCTGTATTTTATGGGTAAATTGGTGAATATCCTTCAGTATTTTATGGGTAAACTGGTGAATCTCGGTAATTCTTAGTTTAAATGTTAACGAAATTTGCGGCTGACGGATTCATCAATAAATTCTGTTATTTGAAAAGATCGTTTAGCAATAGTTAATTAGATCAATGTAACCTGAACTGATTGTCATGCGATACTAAGCCGCAGTGTTATGTTTCTTACCGTCGAGTCAGCCGCATTGACTTTCACAATATTAACTTTATTAAATTATGATTTTTGAATAGAATAAATCAGCTATAGAAAGCATTTTCAAGGCATTTGTGACAGTCGTTACAGCAAACAAAAGTGAATAGATGACTGAGATAGCAATTCAATCAGTAGATGGATCTATTGATTTAATAGGGTGAGACGTTCAGGTATTTTTTTTTGATCAGGAGGAAATAGCCGGACTTCCGCCCTCCACTAGGGATAGAGGGCGGGGCATGTCGGAGTCGAACTGACTAAAACCCCCTGTTTCTCAACAACCCACGTCCGAACCTCGCATGAGTCAGAACTCATGAAAAGGCAAAGGGGAGAAAGTAAACTGTTTAGTGCGGAGCACATCTCTCCCATCACCCTCCCCCTCGAGACGCCGGACCGGCAGTCGTCGGCGCCACAACCGCCAGTCCTCTCGGTTAGCAGGCTATCCGAAGCCCGCCTATATGGCACCGGTTAGAAACGTTCAGGTCTACTCGTATCACCTGACACGAGTATCACCATCATCAGCCTACAGCAGTCCACTGCTGGACATAGGCCTCTCCAATTGCTCGCCACTGAGCACGATGTTCGGCTTCTCTCATCCAACTCCTGCCAGCCACCCTGCACAGCTCATCACTCTACCAAGCCTGAGGGCGTCCTGCAGTACGTTTGCCAATTCGCGGTCTCCACTCAAGAACGTGTTTACCTCAATGGTTATCTGTTGTCCGGCTAGTATGGCCAGCCCATTGCCACTTCAGCTTACTAATTCGCTGTATAATGTCTATAACTTTGGTTCTCTGTCGGATCATCTCGTTCCGGATTCGATCCGGATTGTTTCTTTGAAACAAACTGAAAGACGAAAACATCAGTGACGTCATCGTAATCTTAAGTTAAACAGCACCAAGAAATTATACATTCAATACCGCATTTTACATTGTAGATGTCTATAGGCTCCAGTAACCACTTAGGTGGGCTGTGAGCTCGTCCAACCATCTAAGCACATCCAATCCAATTACTTCAAGCACAGCCCTCTCCATAATTCGCTGAGCGACTTAGCTTGTAGACCAGCCCATTGTGGCGATTATGGGTAAATCCCCCAATTATGGCAAGTCAGGATAATCCACGGCCCCCAGTTTCCGACACGAGTATACCGATTTAAATTTCGCACATAGAGCACACATTTTTCTAAATACATAGGTATTTACATAGCACGTGAAGCAATAAAATCGTGTAATAAAAGTCATAATTCAGTCTGTAAGCAACGACTTGGCTGTTCCCTACAAATTATATAATGTTTGTAGATGCAATAAAACACTTTAATAAGGGTTTAGTTATCTATACAATCCTTAATAATTCATAATTAGAGATGATTCGTTTTATTGGTTTCTTTACGGTATTAAACAACTGTATTATCTATAACAGTAAAATATTGACAGCATAAGAAAATACGCGTTACGTTGTGTATAAATAAACATTTACGTTGTAGATATCAATGGACTCCTTTTTTTTCCTACCTGAGCTGAGAGCCTTGAGAGGCTATTTCAGCGTAACCTTGAGTAGTAGGTGAGCTCACGGGGCTCAAACCTGACGACGTTGCTAACACAAGCCCTAGCAAGAGCCGTGCTTCGCAAAATTTACCACCGGATCGGAAACGCGACCCACTGAGAAGATCCGGCGAGAAACTCAGTGGGCTGTGTTAGAAGGTTATTTTACTCGTCGAGTCCTTTGTCGCGAGCGACGGGTTCGACGGGAACGATGACCGGATGGGCTCCAGTAAACACTTAACAGGTTGGCTGTGAGCTCGTCCACCCATCTAAGCAATAAAAAAAACATTTATAAATAAAATTGAAATAGGTTTTACTATTGGGTTATAAAATAAGATAAACACGCCTTTGGCATTAACGATGTCCAAGGAAGTCAGACCCATTTCCCTTGAACTTAGCCTTAGGCTCGCCCCTATTCAATGGTAGTTAGTTTACCACCATTTTTATTTTATTTTAAATCTGCCAACAAATTCAGAATCACAACCGGCTTACTGTGCCTACATTAAAAAAACAGAAATTCACTACATTTTATTATACAAGATGATAACTAAGCACATAATTCAACTCCAATTATTTGATAGCATTTTATTATGTCATCTCACGAATAAACAACGCAAATCTTGAAAACAAAATTAAAGTGATTTAAAATCGTCCGCCAACTGATAATAAAGGTTACACGCGTCTGCCTTGACTAAATACTGGGTACGATAATAGTATAATGCGATTTTGTGTAAGTAAAAATGGAATGTTTTATATTAATGAATGTTTGAATGTATAATTTCTTGGTACTTTTTTTTTAATTGTACCCTTGTAGGCAGACGAGCATACGGCCCACCTGATGGTGAGTGGTTACCGTCGCCAGAGCCAAGCCGCTGCCTACCGTTTAATACTCTCCACAAGCCTCGTTTGAAGAAGGACATGTCATAGCGCTCGGGAAACACCGTGGAAGGGAGCTCATTCCATAGCCGGATGGTACGTGGCAAATACTGTGATGGTACTGTTTAGGTTAAGATTACTTAGCATGACGTCACGTCTTTGAGTTTGATTTAGCTAATGATTTGTCACTTGAATAAATGTTTTTTAAAATAACATAAATGCACCGCATTTCTTTTGTAGCTATTTAATTATTATTACAAACATTGGAATTATGTCAATTCTGATAAATTAAATAAAGTCTATTGTCTGTCCGTCCAAAAACCGTTGGAGTTACATGTATATAATGTATACTGAAAATGTTTATTTTAAATAATCCAGCATACCAGATAGCATAGTATATCTATTTTACGTGTGAGCCATTATCGTCAAAATAGTCAACTATAAATACCTACAATAAAACATGATAATTTATTTCTAACGCGCATTTGGTAATAACAAATTGATCCTTAAAATCATAATAAACACTTTTATCACATCTGGTATTTAAAGTAGATAAACTTTGCCATTTACACTACATCATTTGAGCGAATGTACGAGTAGTTATGTGGATAAACAAACGAGTGCGCGATATTATGAAAGATGAAGATAGAGAATTCAATAAGATCAATAATTAATTACAGTTCCGAAGCGATGCGAGGGCGGGTCGCTAGTATGGTACATTTCTTAACCGCGGGTAACATCGCGGGCCTCAGTTATCAGTAATGATAGTTAATGTTTCCGAAGCGAAGCGAGAGCGGGGGTAAATATAGATATATATTTAAACGTATATAAGTATGTATGTCAGTCTGGAACCCATAACACAGGGAAACCTAAATTAGGGCGGATGACTGAAGCGTAATTGGTTCTCACTTATTTATTATTATTAATTAATACTTTAGAATTTCGAAGAGATTAAAACGTAAAAGTAATAGTTGCCTAATAATTATTCACATTGTTTTTGGAACGAAGTTCCTTATGGGACGATGCGGAGGGGTACCCTAACCGGGAAAAAACGTCCGTAACGTAAGATTTTTATTATTTTTGTAGTCTAGGTATGATGGCTATTAGAGCAAGAGCCCGCGACAGCCAGACCTTCGTTATTTTATAAAAGCTGAAAGTTTCTCTGTGTATGTCTCCAACACAGGTAAGAACGACCCCCGATTATAGAGTTTCGATTGTGGTTACTTGGGCAGGTAACAGGCAGTAAAGGTATATAAAATAGTACCTTAAATTCGTTAAAGTATAAAGGTTTTTTTTTTTAATATTTANGAAAGAAGTTTCAACTTTCGACCCTAACTTGAATGCAGTATAGCCTATTTGCATCGTTGAATTTAATTTCACGCGCTTTGACCTTGAACTAGAATTTTTGGACAAGTGTTTATAAATACTTAAAAGTTTTTTGTGTTTGATTTTTAAAGTACACATTTTTCTATTTTTAGTTGAATCCAAATAATTGAGTTTATTTCTTGTGTTTATTTTAAACTTTTGAAATCTACACTCTTTTGGTATATTTTGTAATTTTAAATTAAGACACAAAATACTAAAATCTGAAAATAATGTAGCCAGTCCTAAGCCTGGTAAAAGCATGAAGGAAAGTTTTTTTGTTATTTTTATTTTCATGTTCATGTTCTTTTTATTACTTTAAGATCATATTATAAATTGATATCAGAAAACCAACCGTATAACGTTGACTTAAATCTATATCTACTACGATATTATATCAGCGTATCGTTTCAAATCTCAAATACCATGAATCGAGAAAATCTACTAGCATCCATCAATATATAGATTCAGAAAATATATAGATTCAATATCCGATATTGATCCTCGATATATAGATACGATTCGATACGCGGCAAAACCGATATTACCCACTCCTATTACTTAGCATGACGTCACTTTGAATTTGATTTAGCTAATGACTTGTCACTTGAATGTATGTTTTTTAAGATAACATCAATGCACCGCATTTCTTTTGTAACTATTTAATTATTATTACAAACATTGGAATTATGTTAATTCTGATAAATTAAATAAACTCTATTATCTGTCCGTCCAAAAACCGTTGGAGTTACATGTATATAATGTAGTAGCCGTACTCGCCCGCTTCGCTGCATTTAAAATTAACATTATTATTTATTGTCATTATTATTAGGGAGTCCAACCCTCATACTAATATTAGCCTATCCATTAACTAGATGTATTTTCTACATGGATACCAAGTTTCAAGTCAATCGGATGCATGGTTCAGTAGTTATAACGGAACATCCGCAAAAACCACTGTAGATTTATATATTAGTATAGATATAGATAATGGAAATATTTATCATAAATAGTCCAGCATACCAGACAGCATATAATATCTATCTAACTTTTACGTGTGAGCCATTATCGTCAAAATAGTTAACTATAAACAAGATTATTTCTAATGCACATTTGGTAATAGTAAATTGAGCCTTAAAATCATAATAAACACTTTTATCACATCTGGTATTTAAAGTAGATAAACTTTGCCATTTACACTACATCATTTGAGCAAATATCTGAGTAGTTATGTGGATAAACAAACGTGTGCGCGATATTATGAAAGATGAAGATAGAGAATTCAATAATATCAATAATAAATTACAGTTCCGAAACGAAGCGAGGGCGGGTCGGTAGGTACATATCGACGCTTGAAAGGCAAAAGTGACTAAGCGACAATGCGTGAACTTTACAGTAGACCAATTTAAAGTTGAAATTAATTTAAAATATACATGAGAAATACCTGAAAAAAATTCTATTTTAACGAATCTAGCTGTAGGATTGAAATGATTTTAATAGACCTAGATATATATGTCTGTCTGGAACCCATAACACAGGGAATCCTAAATTGGGGCGGATGACCGAGCGTAATTGGTTCTCATTTATTTATTATTATTAATTAATACTTTAGAATTTCGAAGAGATTAAAACGTAAAAATAATAGTTTCCTAATAATTATTCACATTGTTTTTTTTTGTTGCACATTGTTTATTTCCACAACCGACCCAACTGATATACGTTTACCTAAGTCCATAGAAAACACTACTTAAAGGCCGCCCTCTCCCTGAGAAAACGGCGGTGTCACCCTTCAAAACTGAACAGTGCGGACTTCCAATACGCTCTACTATTAGTAATGGCTTACTATAAAACTTAAAAGGGATGTCTTAATGAAATACCAAAATACATTAACGTTTTCATTTTTATTATTATTAAACTTTACATACCGTAAAATGGGGAAAATCGGGACACTCTTTAAATTCGACATTTTTATGGTTTTTTTTGTAGTTAAAACGGAGGTCATAATGGTTCCGGTAGTTAAAATTTTCATTTATAATGCATTAAATTAAGATACAGTTTATTAAAGAATAATCATAAAAAGTTACAAAACTTACTTGTCCTTATTCACCTAGGCATTGATGTGAATCGGATTACGTATGGGGACAATAGTTTTTCGATAGGGCTGGCACTATTGTTGTTAGGTAACCTAACCTAACTTTAGGTAATTAACTTTTTAACATCTTTAAATGAATTACAAAACTTTTATGACTACATTAAACTATTTAATATTCTTAAACACTAATTAAAAATCATTTTCAGTTCAACAAAGTTACATCTCTAACAACCCGACAAAAGTATTGTGACATCCCAGATTTGTCCTTATTCCCCCCAATCTACTGTACTCATTACAATTAATCTTATCTTCTATAATTTAAATCTTCAAAAACTCATATTGCCCTGCGTGCTGGAGATATCTTCAGAGGGACTTTGACTCGAGCTGAAAGAGCTGAGAGTCTCACGGGTCTCCTCTTTAATCTTCAGATGGTCGGTGCCGAGGGGCAGGCTCGGGGGCAACGACCTGTCCTTGTGCTCTTTAGACTTATCTTTGCTGCTGTGCTTGTGTTTATGTTTGTGTTTGTGCTTCTTTTTCTCTTTCTTCTTTTTCTTTGCCTATAAACAACAGATTACATTCTTCGTGTATTATATTATTTAAAAAAATATACAAAAAATGCAAATATACTTTTTTTTTTAAATACAAAAAGATATTTTTCAAGGCTATAAATATATATAATATCTCCATTTGATACTATTTTGGGAATTGTCCACTATAATTGATTGTCGTTGAATTTAGATTTTATTTTTCTATTTGTACCTAAGCCGTAAATTAGTATTAGCATTGACGCTGGCCGATCTATTTCTATCGCGAAACAATCAGCCATTCCGATTTGAACATGTACGATATCCACAATCATTCTATGTATAGGTTCCGGTAACTGCTTAGCTTCAGACTTCAATGACTATAGGCTACGGAATAGTGCGTCAGCTCATATTGGCAAATAGTTTTGTTTTTATAAAATTGAGTACGAAGAAGTCTGTTTGTACGACATACATCAAGCTTATCCGGTTCGATACTCGATACTTTTTTTGTACAGAATTACTCCTTAAAGAAAGCTTTACCCTTAAAGAAATCGAAACACATTCATGACCACCGAAAGTGAAAATTATATTGAACTTCACACCAGGCACTTAATAGCTAAAACCAACCTTAGGGGCTCCGAGCTCATCCTTCAGGGGTCTAAACATTCCGGGTTCGAAGCCGATGGGTCCCGAAGTCCCCGGGATACCGGGCAGAGCCACAGCATTATCTGAACTGAATTCTCGTTTCGAATCATCCTGTCATAGAAAATTTTAAATACTATTAATGTTATGTATCATTTCGGTAAATGTAAAGATCAACTGGTGATCAACCATTAAAAAAAATACAAACATTACTGAAAACATTGGGTATTAACAGCACTAAAAACAACCTTTTTTTTCAATTTCTTTATAGTATTGCGAACTGAATGAAAATATGTAACAAAAAGTGCATGCACTACAATGTTCGCTTCTCTAGCATCACTTAAAACAAATTTAAAATTCAAGATCTACACTGAACTGTAGAAAAATTGGATAAATCAATATGTCCTCTGAACCAATTAAAGTTACTTTTTATTATGTATAATTTTATAATATATTCGATAAATTATTTAATGTGGTTACAAATGCTTCTTTGAATCAAATATTTTAGTAATAAACAGACAATAGACATTTCGGAAAAGTTTCACCGCTTTCAATCAACGTATTAATTTCGACTTCAGAATAACTGCAATAAAAGCTAAGCGAGATGAAATGATTTTACGAAAAACTAAATTCATTGGAGAACTTCACTGAAAACTAAATTCATGGGAATACTAAATTCGTTATTCAGGAGTTCAGTTTTGCATATATGTGAAAAACCATGTTTTGTGACCTGTGTATTTTGACTGAAAAAGCTCTTTAATAATTTTGTTTTAAACGCAGTGATTTATGTCAAACTAGCGACCCGCCCTCGCTTCGCTTCGGAAACTGTAATTTATTATTGATTTCTCCACTATTTAATGGATGTTATTATACATATAAACCTTCCTCTTCAATCACTCTATCTATTAAAAAAACCGCATCAAAATTCGTTGCGTAGTTTTAAAGATTTAAGCATACATAGGGACAGACAAAGCGACTTTGTTTTATACTATGTAGTGATGACACGCAAAATTTGGGTTTATTTTCAGTCATACATAATAAATGGTGGGACACAATATTATATCAGGAGGTGGAGTTCAATAGTCCTAACAGTTAAAAACGAGGACTTACATTAAAAACTCTTAAGGGAATTTCAGTGGAAACTGTCGTTACGTCAATCTTCACGTCCTCCTCTTTGATACTGGACAGCGGAACCGGAAGCACGTTCTCATCTGTCACGTCCATTTTATTGTCCAATAGCGCTGTACTCGTCATTGGACCAATCGTCGATTCGTATTTCACCTATAAATATTACAAAACTGAGATGAAAACAGAAATAATTATCAATGTGTATTTTATTTAGAACTCTAATTCACAGACAAATAATGTTCAGCTTTCACTAGTTTTACTTATAAGTATCGAACATCATAGCAACTTGATCAAAAATACTTTTGGGATTTAAAACCATGCATCGTATTGGTTCATACACACACACAAAATATATTATTATAGACCATTTACATTAAAAAATCTGTTTAAAAAAAATCTAAATATGCATTAACTTACGTCATCAATCTCCTGTTTGATCACGGGCTTCAACTCCAGATTGCTCTGTCTCTCCCTCTCCCTTTCTTTTTCCCTCTCCCTTTCTCGTTCCCTCTCGAGGCGTTCTCGTTCTTTTTGATGGTTCTGCTTTATCATCGCTTGTATTTCGGGTAACGGACAGCAAATAGGGCGTTTAGCGCCGTACAACGTGTAATACAGGTCCACAAGGTCGCACCGGAGACGAGCGTCGTTCGACAAATTACTGTTTATATTGTTCCAGATTCTGTGAAAAAATACGATTTTTGTCTTTAAGCTACAGGTGTTACCAGTTAAAAATATATATTTAATGCTTAGTTTGGTGGACGAACTCACAGCCCACCTGTCTTTAAGTGGTTGATGGAGCCCATAGACATCTACAACGTAAATGCGCCACCCACCTTGAGATATAAGTTCTAAGATCTCAGTATAGTTAAAACTGCTACCCTACCCTTAAAACCGAAACGCATTACTGCTTCACGGCAGAAATTGGCAGGGCGGTGGTACCTACCCGCGCGGACTACCCGGTGATTATGTCTCTAGGTATGATATTGTTACGCCGGTAAGAGTAGCGCCATCTATCGCCGAATAGTCGAACGAATATCGAAGGATCCAGAACGCTCGAGAATTACAACGCCATCTATTGGCAGATAACGGAAACTACGACTAGAGATGTGAAGAATATTCTCGATGATTCTAGGGATGAGGTATCCGCTATAAAAGCGTTGTAGGGATGGCGCGCAGTCAGTCAGTAATCGTAACTACTCGAAGCGAAGCGGAAGAAGCGAATTGAGAGTTTAAAAGTGTTTGTGAAGTGTTTTAAGTGTTGAATACAGTTTTTAAGTTGTACTTTCGTGAAATTTTATTTATCCCGAATCCTAAGCGTGTAACAATATCATCGAACGCGTCACGGGTACCTACCTGTGCACCACCGTCTCGGAGTCGAGGCGGTGCCTCTGCGCGCGCTCGAAGGGCGGCGTGTCGACGAGCAGGCGCGCCAGGCCGTGCCGCACGCCCGGGTCGGGGTCGCTCTCCACGGCCGTCAGCAGCGACGCCAGGTCCTCCGGCTTCCCGTCCACTCGGACGAACTCGACCAGGCACTCGAAGGCCGCCAGTCGCACATCTGGTTTCATTCAAACGTATCATTCATTATCTAAAACCTTCCGTACTCATTGGACTTATGCGGAATTTACATTACGAAATTAGTGTCATGCATGTTGAACTCAGTTTCACGAAAGTAGTTTCTATATGTGCGAAAGTAATTTCGTAAAAAAATTAGTGTCGCGAAATCCTCAGTATCGCAGTAACCATGGCGCCATCAGCATCAAAGCTATATTTTGCTGTATTCAATGTAACTAAAGAAATTGTACTTATGTATAAATTTATAAAAAGACTATCAAGAAAAAAAAGAACTTGGTAGATTCGAGGATGGTTAACAAGAAGGCATTTAGGCGCAACGAAATTAGTCTCTGAATTAGCAGATGAAGATCCTGAGAGCTATAAAAACTATTATCGAATGAGTGAAGATAATTTTAATTTTTTACTGTAGGTGTTTCGGGTCCCAGAGAGACTCTTGTCGCTGATATTCATTAATGAATTATATATTTTTATGTGTACTCATCGTTGGTTTGCCATTTTCAACGCTTGAAGCGCGCGCGAGCTAAAAATACATACATCCGCAGGCGCTTTCACGACAGTAGTTTCACGTTGAGCCTTCTACACTATCAAATTAGTTGCATGACACTAATTTCACCAAAAAATCGCGCAGGGCACGAAACTTATTTGCACTCATGAGATTAATGCATGCATTACGAAAATATTAAATTACACGTGAAACTGTTGATAAAACTAATGTCACGAAATTAATTTCATGCTAATAATTTCGTAATGTAAATTCGCCCTTACTGATAGCCACTTTATAAGATGAGGAAATTGTATTGAAAAACAAGGATACAACAATGTGAAGACCGTCACGTTCTCTTGTTTCAACTATATGTCGGTGGCGGTCATTAGTTAGGTAGCAAAACGAAACGTAGCAAGATTCCCGAGAGATGGCAGCACGATTGCGGTATAGTCGGAACTCGGCTAACTTCGTGCTACGACAGAGCCTAGCCGATGAAGGCGCATAGACGCTATCACACTTACCAACCAGCCTTCTTGAAGAGCCGTGCCTCCGTCCTAAGAACTGTCATTAGTTTTCGTTTGTCGTTTTCGTCGAAACCACGGTAAAAGTGAAACTTTTTTTATATTAAACACTGACAAAAACAAACAAAGCAGCGTGGAGCACTGGCACAAATGAGTAATAGTCTATACACTACACGGTCAGCTGCTGAGAACTATAGGCGCCGCCATATTGGCTTTGGCTGCTCTGACGAGCGCCTTTCACTTCATCCCTACACCGCGGCCGACCGTCACGCGACATGCAACACACCAACGAAAAATTATGGAAGCACAAATTACCAATGTACTGTCCGTACTGCGCATAGGCCCTGAATATCATGGGCGTGCTGGGCAGGTGGCCGCACTGCTGCAGGCGGCGGATGGCGCGCAGGCAGCTCACCGTCACCGTGTTCTTGTAGCACGGCAACACCTTCTCCAAATTCAGGACCCGGGTTATCTCTTCCAGGACCAGTCTGGAGTCCGCCGACAGGGAGTCTGCCGTTATCGGCGCGCCCTATGTGACGTGGAATTCTAAATTAACTTCAATAACTTCATAGTGATAGATAGCAGACCAGCTTTTAGGACGCCTAAATAAATGGATGAATGAATGAATGAACGAACGAATGAATGAACTTATGAATGAATGAACGAATGAATGAATGATTTATTTTATTTCAGACAACAGCAAATCCATGTGTACATAGTGTCATTGAAATATACTTAAAATTAACAACACCAATCAAATAAAAAAGATACATGTACTAAAAATAATGATCAGTTGAATACATTTCAAATACTCCATTCAACTGATACTTACTTCGAACCAACCATTATTATTATTTAGTCCGCAAGTGAAACTTGGTACAATGGTTCAAGTACTACGTACATAATAAGTGAAACATAAAAATAAAATACATAACATAAAAGCGGCTCTAATAAAATCATTAAATATTTTATGTAAAAATATACAACGCTTTTATTGTAATGGCGAGGATCATGGCCTCCTAGATTTTTTCGATCGCGCATGCGCGTGACGGATTCTAACGTCAATGTAACAGTTTAATGTAAATGTCGCAGCCTATCTCAATACTTACTGGCCACTTTCGTTCCCAGTGCAGGAATGAATAAAATAGTAATTTTCCTAATTTCAAACTGAACGCCTAGTTCAGAAATTGAGACATATTCTATAGACATTTTTCTCATACTAACGGGTTGCAGCACGGATATGACCGGAGTGATCGTGGCAGCGAGAGCGTCCACCAAAGCAGCCCTGTAGTAATTATCGGAGAAATGATTCTTCGAATTGTCGTTGTACTTGAAGAGATCTAAGAGGAATTTCACGACTTCCGGTGGACAGATGCCGTGGATGTTCCGGAGACCTGAAACCGAAATATTTGAGTTTATATTCATAATAGTTAGTGAAAATTTGCTTCAGTTGTCTTCAGTTGTCACTGCGTTTTGATCATTATCTGTGAGAGTAAATTTTCAAAGCCAAATTAATTTCGGAATGTCAACGGCATATTTATTATTTTATTCGGTTATTATTATTATTGCATAATTGGGAGTACAAGCTCCATAATCATAACGAAAAAAAATCTTGAACTATTTCAATGGAGTAAGCTTAATTGAAGTCCTATTAAAAATATCAGAATGTTGTTTTACGGGTCCATCTGAAACGCGTTACGTACCAGCCATGGCGACCGGTATAGTCTTCTGCAGGAAGTAATGCTGCAAGTTGTCGAAGTTGTTCTGCTTTATTATATGCGGCGCGGAAAACGAACCGAACATTTTGCGGAAGATCGTCAACATCGCCGGCGGACCCGCCCATGAACTTATCATTGCATTCGCCACCTGATTAATGAAAAATAAAATTAGGGACGATAGTTTTATGTGATAACCTTCTTCTACTGAGAACTGGTCGAACTGCGAGCTCTGACGTCACGCGCGAATAGATATGAATATGCCAACGCTTGGGTCGATCGTGCTCTCTATCCTTATTCCGCGCTCTCGCTTGCACGCTCATACTCAGGTGGAACGTGACACTTTCTCGTGCACGTAACCGGTGTTCAACGATTCATAAGACGTTATCACGTCAAAAAAATCAATACATTTTTTAATTCGTCGTACGATTTTGTACTTGCCTACGATGTATGCCGCCAAGCAATCGTTTGAATTATTTAATGAGTTGTTGTACTATACAATTCAGATATTTCATGGTCAATGGCAGCATTCGCGTTATGTCTATGAGCACTAGCCATGTAGACAAAAACATACAGAGATAAATTACGTTAAAATTTGGTAGCGGCCTGAGAATAGAACCATAGTCATTTAGCTCCGAGCTATCGACATATTAAACTACAAGCGGCTCGCTCCGGCTCCGCTCGGATCTTTAACAAAAATTTCAACGATATTTGACGTTGTATTATTTTTTTAAATAAAAGAACACTTATTGCGGCGTAACTATAATAATTAGACATATGCTGTCGCGACACTTTCTATAAATAATAATGTGTTCTACAAAGTCGTAGTACATTATTTTATTCTATCATCAATAGTTTTCGCAGGGCACGCGATATCAAGAATATTTTACGTAATTTTTTTACACCTTGGGTTACATTATTGGAGTTTTAGTAAGGATCCCTAATTTTTTTTCAAAAAAGATTATTGCCTATGTGACTCGGGAATAGTGTAGCTTCCAAACAGTGAAAGAATTTTTCATATCCGTTCAGTAGTTTCGGAGCCTATTCAATACAAACAAACAAACAAATCTTTCCTCATTATAATATTATTATAGTATAGATAATCCAAGATCTGAGGATATGCAGAAATCAACCTCACCTTTGTCAAGCAATGCGCTGCCCTACACCGTATCTTATAGAACGTCTGTTCGTTCTCAATGGTGTCCGTGAGAGCCTTCCTCGTGGCCGGCTCGGGGAACGTGTGCAGCGCGTCTATGGCCTCGCTCTGCGCGGTGACGTCACGCTCGTGACGCAGCTGGTACTGCCACTGGTAGTCCGGCTGCGATATTATAGTGCTACGCAGTAACGACATCTCCGGGTCCAGACGAATCCATAATACAGGAGAATCGCTGCAAATAACGACAATGGTTATACTGTAAAAAAAATACTATTCCATCTCTATTATCAACTCAAGAGTAAGGTAACTTATATATGTATATGTTTAAGTTTATGATCTGAATAACTCAGTCTACTAAATGATTTGCCCTTTTTAAGTCACTTCATTGTTGGGTGAACAAGTTGACAACCCATCTAATGTTAAGTGGTTACCGAAACACACATACATCACACGGTGAACCTTGAGATGTAAGGGGTTAATTGAATTAATCTAATATATGTTTTATATTGATCTATGTACATCAAAAAACCTATATTGTTTCGTTACCATTAATAAAGTCGTCTATTAGACAAACGAATATAAGTTAAACTCTTGTTTGAAACTTTTAGATAAAGTGTGTTTAATGATGTAGTTTAAGCCCTCATACTCACTCCATTGCCGACAAATCCATGTCTACTTCTTCTCCGGTGCACAAAGGAATCTTCTTCTTCTTATTCCTCCGACTCTTGCTGTGACAAGTTATATCGGCTTTGACCACCGTATTCTCAATCTGCAATGTGTGCTTGAATGTACCGTCCAACTCCTGCAGCTGGACGAGCAGGGGACCCACGTATTTACGTATACCGCGCTCGTGTACGCAGTCCTGTCGTATCTCAAGTTCTACGGTGTTTCTGAAAAAAAAAAATACTAAATCTGCACCGGGTGGTTAAATTTAATGAATATTAATTATCTATACTAATATATAAATCTACAGTGGTTATTACGGATGTTCCGTTATAACTACTGAACCATGCATCCGATTGACTTGAAACTTGGTATCCATGTAGAAAATACATGTACTTAATGGATAGGCTAATATTTGTATGAGTGTTGGACTCCCTACACCAGTTGCGGGGACGTTAATGATGAGAACCTTTGTGGGGGTGAGAAATAATGTTAATTTTAAATGCCCAGCGAAGCGGACAGGTACAGCCAGTAATTAATACAATTAAGTAATGTAAAGGGAGTGTGAAAGTAGCCCCGGTAATTAACAAATTAAAGAGCGGACGGTTAGCGTGGTATGAACGTGTGATGCGTAGAGAGAAGATGCATATGACTAGGCGATGTATGAAAATGGTAGTGGAAGGTAGAGGGGGAAGAGGTCTACCGAAAGAAGACATGGATGGAGTGTGTGATTGGCGATATGAGAGAGAAAGAGGAGTGAGTGTTGAGCTTGACGGCTAACAGAATAGAATGGAAGAGAAAAATTATCTGTGACGACTCCAACTAGTGGGATAAGGTAAAGAAGAAAGAAGTAATTATTGTTGTTTGTTGTCGATTTTCAATAAAAGACAATTATGCCTTTTCAACCTTTTCTAAATTTAATTTAATTTACATAGTCTTAACATATTCGATCACCATATTATAACAATCGGCATATTATAACATTGAGGAGTGCCCTCCTCTCATAATAATTTCATTCATCTCTTACACTCGCTCTTCCACGCTGCACTTCTAGATTAATTAATGTACATTTTAAAAAAATCTAGGTTATTTTCAAATGCAAAGTTAACAGAGCTGAATCTATGTAAACCACTTTTGTTGTGATATCTCTTATTCATTTTATACTTTTTCGTTGTAATTCTCATCCATGATCACAAACACTGTAATATTCAAAACGTCATCATTCAGTCATAAACCAACTCATAACTTTTAAAGCCAGTGTTGCTATGTATTTATTACCTTTTTCTATTAAAGACTGATGTCAATTGAAATTTGGCGTGCCCTCCGGTCCTCACCCACTGGTCGACGAACACAGCCATATCTTTACCAGTCACCGTGAATATAGCTTTGACAAACAAGTTGGTCGATAGCAACAAGTGGCCCCATAGCCCACTCCCGATCTTTGTATTGGCCGCATTGGTGGCCAACGCCAACTGCTTGTTAAATACTTGAAGCAGGAGCTCTTGTCCAATACGCTGCTCCAACATTCGTAATACCAAATGAGATTTTTTGCGCATAACCTGAAAACATTGTGACAATTGAAAATTTGTATAAGCTGTTTTTTAATAACATAATTTTAGGTGAGCATGTAAAAGAAACATTAATTTCTGAAGTCGTCGTGGCCTAACGGATAAGACGTCCGGTGCATTCGTGTTGAGCGATGCACCGGTGTTCGAATCCCGCAGGCGGGTACCAATTTTTCTAATGAAATACGTATTCAATAAATGTTCACGATTGATTTCCACGGTGAAGGAATAACATCGTGTAATAAAAATTAAACCCGCAAAATTATAATTTGCGTAATTACTGGTGGTAGGACCTCTTGTGAGTCCGCGCGGGTAGGTACCACCACCCTGTCTATTTTTGCCGTGAAGCAGTAATGCGTTTCGGTTTGAAGGGTGGGGCAGCCGTTGTAACTATACTTGAGACCTTAGAACTTATATCTCAAAGGTGGGTGGCGCATTTACGTTGTGGATGTCTTTGGGCTCCAGTAACCACTTAACACTAGGTGGGCTGTGAGCTCGTCCACCCATCTAAGCAAAAAAAAAAAACTGGGCGTTCGTTGATCCGAGTATCAGCTGTTTTTGATTTTGTGTTTCATTGCTGGTTTTTAATAATAGTAATGTAATGTATTTTTTATGAAACTATCGCTTCATTTAGCTGTACTAGCATGATGGAGCGTAAACAATGCTAATAAAACGTTTTAAAATGTGATTTTTTTTAATGAGGATCGATTTTTTTTTCCGTCTCATCATCAAAGGTGTCATTAGTACTATCGTCTGTCTTCATTTTCGAAAGCGGTCTCCTAACACTCAGCATTATGATATTACAATCAACAAAACATGTTAGACATGAAATGACATATTACTGTTTTAATTCATATATTCATTAGGCCATTACATTAATTGACAATAAAAATGTATTAGAAAACGGTACACTTACTTCAATATACCGCGGCGACATGGTATGAACATTGCGTACGGGGAAATAGAAGACATTGGGTTCAATCCTGGTTCCACTAGCGGGCGGCTGCCACGGGTCTAGGACTATACCGCCGTATTGTTCTTCGTAACCCATCACCTGCAAGACATTATATATATATATCGATTTGTAGAGCCCAATTTAATGATGATAACGTGTATGAATGTACCATCATAGGGATTAACTATTTAGTGGTTATTGGAGATATCCCCAATAGGGCGAACAACTCCAGTGGTGTAATAATTATTGTTCTTAATTTATTATTAATATACAATCTTTTATTTCAATTTGTGGTACACACACACACACACTTACTGAAAGTTGAAATAAACTGTATCGCCAGTTCCAAAAACCACAGTCCTGAGAACTGGGTAAAAGTAAATTGTAATGACTACCCTACTTTGAACTGGAACATATGAGTTATTTACAGTTTAATCAGGATGTATGACTATATATTTACGCCTTACCATACCTATTTATGCGTATTTTTTTTATTGCTTAGATGGATGGACGAGCTCTCAGCCCACCTGATGTTAAGTGGTTACTGGAACCCATAGACATCTACAACGTAAATGCGCCACCCACCTCGAGTTATAAGTTCTAAGGTCTCAATATAGTTACAACGGCGACCCCACCCTTCGAACCGAAACGCATTACTGCTTCACGGTGGAAATAGGCGGGGTGGTGGTACCTACCCGTGTGGACTCCCAAGAGGTCCTACCACCAGTGAAAAATATATACATCTTACCATACAACATTACACAAATACCTATTTGTTAGACATGAAATTTTATATTTGATATTAAACCTTACCTCTTTCAACTCCTGATGTATCCAATACCGATAGGCGTTGTTCCCAAAACATTTCTTGGAGTACAGTCCGCATAAATAGTCCGGTATACCTTTTGCTAGCCACAGATCTGACCAGTTCTGCATAGTTATAAAACAACCGAAAAACTGTTCGGCCACTGCTTGTGCCATTGCCTTCCTGCTGATGTAAGTCTGGTCGATGATAGCAATCGAGTGTAGCAGGTGAGTGCTTAATATCGAAATAGTCGTGTAAGCAGTTGCGTCATCTTCTGTCTATTGAAAAATATTAAAATTGTTAAAAATTTTACACTAAGCATTTGTGACCGGATCTTATATCCGTCAGGATAGTTTCCAAAAACGAAAGCTAATTAGTTTCCAGCTACTATGCTACTACTAATCCACCAACTTAACTTAAATGGTTAATTATAATTGTTTCTATACTTATTCTTTCCAGTTTGGGTTTTTTCTTAGACTGATTGGTTGTCTGTTTACACTAAAGTATGAATTACGCGTTAGCTGATTTTTTTGATTTTATTAGTAATTGCATAAAATCCAAAAACTTCTTTGTAACAGTAATTGATCAGCATTCACTACTATTTAAAAATGTGAATAAATTTAAATATTAGTGTGTACTTGATAAAATATAAAAAATTCCTTTGGGGAACTTTTCGAATGCACTTTGATTACTTTATTTTAAGTATCGAATAATACTATATTATACATTTTGGAAATACATATAAACTAATTTTAATTTAATACTATAAGCTAAACTTTCGCCAACTACTCAGGTACATAGTATTACAAAATTATTATAATAGGTTGATAATTAACTGAATGTACCAATTAAATTGGCTTCAAAATTAGACTTACCTCATCAACAAAAACTTGTTTGTAACAGGGATATGGATATCTAGTTGATAATGTTTCTTCATAGAATTCAAATGCCTCATGCAAATATCTTACAGTGTTCTTTAATATTTGTAGCAAATTTGGTAAGCAATAATGTGTTACTTCATTCATGAAAGGATCAACATAAGTTTCAAATGGTCTGAAAAAAATATTTTCATAAAGCATAAAACATTTCAGATATTATAAAAAGGCTCCCGATACCCAGATGAAAACGTCACCTTGGATTTTTCCGAAATTCTAATTCTTTTAATGTTTTTAGGAAAACTAATCAGAGTGAATTTTTAGGATATGACGAAGTTCCCGCCATAGATAATAAATACACTTAATATCTAAGAGTTTCACAACACAATTTCTTCTCTTGCAGATATTGATCAAATAAATATTGTGAATGTAAGTTGGTAAATAAATGAATAACATCAAAGACGTGTAACTTAAGTACACACAACTTTTTAAGTATAAAGTCCAGTTTTGTTATACCACAGTCCCTTAAAATAAAAACTCACCCAATAGCCAACGCTATGTTTGGTGCGCAAGCTGGAGTATTCACTAAATAATGAAATGTTTTCCTCCTATGATCAGGTGTATAAATAACATCTACTAGTTCTCCACATGAAACAGCTGTGAGGCATTCGTCAACAGTAAATTCCAGTTTCCAAGTGCAAGGCTCAGCAAAACTATCCACACATGGGAACCATAGTCGAGCAGAATGTCCATATGTAAACATGTGCGCTGATTTCTAACAAAATATATTGAATTTATCAACAAGCATTTTAATAACTAACATCCTACTTACTATAATAAAACTACTTTTAAGGAAGACTTCAACATGATCATCTGTGATGACAAAAAACTGTAAAGTATCCACCCAAGACATCCACAAGTTCATAATATAATGACAAAAAATGGGATACTGAGTCATTACAATAGTTTTACAGCTTTCAAATACTGCATAATATACCATGCACATTTTTGTACATTCTTATAGGGGGCTTCAGTTAAATTGTATTTTAAGGACATTATACAATATGGGTCCACAGATTAAACAACATGAATGCGACCACTAAGTTTAAGGCATTTCATCAAAATCTCAAATTGCATTATATTGGCTGTCTCACTCTTCAAATACTTAATTACTTCATAGACCCAAGCAGAAAATTGATAAATGCCTACTAGCAAACATATAATACTCAAAGAAAACTACTGGCCATTTTCCATAACCTGTTTTAGTTATATTTTACAAAACTCATGGGAACATATAGGGTGGTGCTATTCTAGACTACCACCACTACACAGCCATGTTTATGCATCCAAGTTTTTTGTCATTTATTTAACTACGCAGCAGTAGCAATGCTGCAATACTGCAGTTAAATAATGTGCTGTAGCACTTACCTCTGTCAAAGTACCTTCTCCCTCAGGTACAACAAAATGCATGCCCCCTTGGGGAGATTCAAGTGAAAATTCAATACCAATTCTGAGCCCTCGGCCTTCACCAACTAAGTGAGCTGCTTCTTCAGGTATTTGAATGTGAAGTTCTCCTGAGTTATGGTCAGGGTCTGTCTTCTGTGCTGCAGTTAAATGATACTGAGAGAATGCTTCCAGTGATCTCCTATAATAATTATTTCCAATAAAGTAAAGATTACAGCCACACAAATTACAGTTGTAAGATCTAGTATTAAAAAATTATGAAATGACAATTGCATCATACTAAGCCATGTCATAAAAGCATGAAACTCATAATGCTGAATTTTTCACTTTCCTGAATGCATTAAAACCAATGCTTAATATTATAGTCCTTAACAACTCATCACTAAGAATCCAAATTAAAAGAGACCATTCATCTAAACATCATCATTATCATCATCTTCATTATCAGCCTATAACATTCCACTGCTGGACATAGGAATCCCGAAGCCTCTCAGGATATTGCTGCTTCAGCTTACAATCCACTGTGCTATGTCAATAACTTCAATTCTTTGTCAGACCGCCTCATTTCAGACTTAATCCTTCAGAGAAACTTGCCCACATGCTTAGTCACTCAGCTAGCTATGAAGAGGAGTATACTTGAAGTTACTCATCTGGATATTAGATAGCAATCACAGAACTAGGATGGAAGAGCTCTTACTATCTAACAGAAGAGTTAGCAAGCGAATTGACATTTTATCTAATAAAAATAATATTCATACCTTGATAGAAAGTTAATCAGGATATGACACTAAGACTACAAACAACAGCATTTTCAATATAAAATGCTTTCATCCAATAACATTCATATTGTGTACAGATTGCAGTTTTTAATGTCAATAATTTAAACTGTATTGGATAATTCTTTAATCTTATTAAAAACTTATTAGTAGATAAACTATACAGCGGCAGGAACACTCTTTCATCAATTATTCTACATCTCCATATTGCCACAGTCAATCTATGTTTTTTGCTCACTATCCTTATCATTCTTGATTTTTTTTTCCATTTTAGTCTCTTTTTACCTTACTATAAAGAGTAATAACTGAAAAACTTACGTATTTGGATCGGCTTGACATATATCCAGAAATGGGTCAAAGTACTGAAAATTTGCTTCATATTGATCATTTAAGCACACTCTATATATTCGAGATTGCTTCGCATTTAGACGAATGTAGCGTAAGTTATCCTTAAGGGGAACGACAGTAAGTTCCACAAATCCCTGTAGATAAACAAAAATATTGATGTAAATGTTGATCAATATCTGAATTTAAATAGATGCTTTATACTTACAATAACGCTTCTTCTTTCAAAGCTTATTCCCGTTAAACTCAAAATTTGATGAGCTGTAAAGTAAAATAATAATTGCAATAACCGAATAAAATGTTGGTTTATAGAATTAAAAAAGACATGATACTTATAATTTAAATGGGCGACAATTGTCGCCCGTACGTTCTTTTTTCATGATTTCATGTGAACAGTTTTCCTCTTATATCGATTATGTTCACGACTTAAAATTATTTATACATTTTAATTCCCAATTTATGAAGACTACAAATAATCCCATATAAACAACAGTTTATCAAGATTGTTGGTGGTTATTCAGAATTTAGAAGCAACAAAATTTGACAGTCTGAACGTCATTGATAGACACTACCGTACAATGGGGTAAATAGGGACAAAATCGACCTTCAGATTGAATTTTAAAATAGTTTCAATTAAATAGTCACTGCTCAACCAAAGAAAGAAGTTGAGTCTTGAACGTACCTAGGTGATAAAAACCGTTACATTATTTTAATTATTCATTTTAAAGAAATAATCGGTAAAATAATGGCCGTCCCAATTTATCCAGCGTCCGGGGTAAATTGACACGGTTAAGGGTTAAATTGGGATATTTGTAAGGGTTGTCAACTCGCAGTACTGCGATATATAGGTAGGTGCCATATAATTATTTATATGGACCGAAATGATGAATACAATCCATAATTTAAGCACAATACACAACATAGTGTAAATTAAGCTGGTTTCTATTCCGAAGCGAAGTGACGTGAATGATAATCAACAATCCAATGATCAAAAAAAGTATGTGCATGTTATATTTTAGAAAATCATTATTTTTTATTTCCTTAAAAATCACAACTCTGAAACAAAATCATAAAATAGAATAAAAAATAGAAAACAAAAGGACTGGAAATGCAATAATACAATTTTATTTAATCAACATTTTCAAAATAATCTTTGAGCAAGAGTAAGATATCAGGTGAATAAGATAAAAAAACAGCTTTATCTGATTACTGCCAATAATAACAAAAATAAAAGAAATTCTTTCTAAGCTAAATAACTAAACTCAATTAATTCACTCACTCATAATTGGATATCTCGGATTTTTAATTAATGTTACATTTAAAATCTGAGGCCTGTTTTTATTTGTGTGTGCGTTTTGAATGTTAACAAAATCATGATTCGACGCGTGAATAGATTCTGAAATAACAAAAGTTTTGATTCGTTTGAGTTCTTTTAACTTTTAATTTTTTTTATTGCTATAAAGAACATACGACCGGGCAGATATTACAAGGTAAATGTCGCGAAAAAAAAGTAATTATATATATACTTTTCTTTTACCTATAATACTTACATAAACTAACTGATAAACACATTAACCTTCTTTACATCACGCAATTAAGTGATAGTATAGGCTAAAAAATCTATTATAAGATATCAGTGACAACCCTAACAAGCCATCCCTATTTTGTCTTTTGGCGTTCCAATTTTGTGTTTTCTCGTCCCTAATTTTTCCAGTCTCGTTCCAAATTACCCTACATACGTCCCAATTTTCCCCAAAAAGAAAGGAAAAAATATACATTTTTTATTTTGTCGAAATATTGTATTTAAAATAAGAATATTGCAACTTACCGTTTGTTGTGGTATTTCCAGGTGTATTAAAAACTTATATAAACTGTGATCTTATTGAAAAAACAACGATAATATTACTTTTTTTAAAAGTTCTTTATGATGTTTTAAAACGCACTTTTCAACCACTATTTAAAATTTAATTTGACGAATTTTTGGGACCAACTTAACTCATGTTTAGTACTTCCATAGTTAACTTGGTTTTTCTTCTATACATTGATAAATATTACCTTAAAGAAAATTAGGTAGATTCCGTGCTACAAGTACTTTGAGTATCTTCCGCAGGTTTGTCCCAATTTACCCCAGAATCCCAATTTACCCCATGTCATGGTATTGTCAAACTAACTATAGCCACTTTGATTTAAAAGTAGGTAGGTACTCTGTGCTAGATGGTCCTTTTTTGTGCAAATAATTGGCCTATTATTGTACTACTCATTGGCCTACATTCTAATGAATATATACCACAGAAATATTGTTTATAGCAAAGGCCCTGTTCATTTAAAACATTAATTACCTAAAAACTCAATTTATACATCCTTTTTTACAGATAGTCTCGAAGTGTATTACCAACGCCGGAAATTAAACTTTAGTTCTTTTTTTATATTTTATTACCTATTAACGAGACCTTTAAGTGAAAACTTTGTTACTCGATACAGGTCATAGACTAATCAATGTACAACAGTGACAGTGCAGCACTATTAATGTCAAATCGAAAAAAAATTAAGCCATTGCGATAGCACGATCGACGATGGTATTTTTATAAAAAGACCGAGTTAAAGTCATTAAACAGAAATAATAACATAAAATTTGATATCCTTGAAAAAGCTATTGAGTGAAGTGATACAATAAAACCTTTCATATAGTATGTTTGTGTTTGAATGATCAAGATGTGGGACTTGCCATACTTGTCTTGTTTAGTTTTGTATATATTTTCATTTCAAGTTATTGTTATAAATTCTCGCACCTCTAATATTTGGAAATTGAATTTAGAAGAAGACCTTATTGTAGATGGCAAAACTTTGTCTCAAGTAAGTCTATTGAGTTTTAAACATTTATATAACTGCTGCACCAAATTATTCTTAACATACGTACATATTAGCCTTTCATTAAGTTGAACCATTTATTGTTGAGCTTGTTAGCCTTGAATACATAATTTCTTTTAGCAATATACAATTGATTAAACTCATTCATATATTGTAATACTAGTTATTGTCTATTTTTAAAATGTCAATTTATTCTAGGATGACACAGAAAAACCATTAAGTGAGGAAGACACCGTATTCAATATAATAACATCTACAGTTTACTACGGGAATACATGGACGAAACATGGATTTGATATGTTTTGCACAGATTGTCAGATTTATGAACAACAGAGGTAAGCTTTGTTGGTAAACTCAAATTATTGGGTAATTAAACATATAACAGCTATTTTTAAAGCATTTTTCAACTATATATAAACCTGAGCTCACGTATACTGTCATAGTTTCATTTATATTAGTTAAGTAAAGAAAAATTGTTTTCAAAAGTGAAATGTATGAAGTTTAATAATTTTCTTTTTTAATACAACTTAAATGCTGAGTTTGAGTCCATAAAAGTGTTTCAAATCTATCTGAGTACTTTGAATTAAGGATAAGATTGGATATATAAAAATGCAAACAACATACATTTTTTATACATGAATTGCATCTTGAAACATCAAATGCTAGTACTTGATAACAATAATTTATTAGTGAAATTAAAAGGTGTACTCTTAAAATTTCTTTAAAGCATCATGCTTCGATAATAATACAGTAAAACCTTTTTACACTTAGAGCTGGCAGTGAAACTAGTGAAGATACACCGCCATCAGAAACAAATGGGCACTCAGATGATGAATATTTAGATTGTGGCAAAGCAGTAAACTTCACTTACTATGATAACTTAGTTGGAGTTGCTAGACGACACAGACACCCTAATGTACCTGAACCACAGGTAAACAACATGATCAAAAGTATTTTCTTCAGTTTTTGTGAGTTATGGAAAATGGATAGATATATATGTATATATTTAATCAGTGATGCAGTGGTAGCTCAGAGCCCCTGACTGTTGTACCAAGGGTCATGGGTTCAATTCCGAAATCAGGCAAACATTCAATTATTATGATGAACAGGTTTGTTTGCAATTTTGTGGGTGTATTATCTTAATACACATAATGTATTGGACATAATTAAGTATGTATGTCAATCTCTGGTACCCATAACACAGGGAATCTCAATTTGTGGTCAGCAGAGCATGTGTTATTTTTCCCCAGTTCTTATTATAATTATTTATATTGAATTATGTAAAATTAATTAGATGTAACACATAATCATTATTAACTTGTTGTTTATATGCAACGCATTACTGAATACTGCTCTGCAGTTTAATTTATTTACTTAAAATATGTACCATCTCTTTTAGGTTGCATTGATATTCACAAAAAAGAAAAATGGAGTCACTGAATTTGATATAAATTCTTTAGAGAAACGTCTGAAGAAGGCAAAAAGAGAAAAACCCAAATCAGTACAGTTATACAATCAGATTGGCAACTTTTGGAGAATCAAAGGAGACACTCGACAATCAATAGAGTGTTTCCGGCGAGCACTAGCAGTGGCACCTTACAATGCTGAAGTAAGAAATATATGATATATTCAATTAGACACACAATACAGATATTTAAAATAAATTAAGAGCAAGGAAATTTTTACATTGCTTTCAAAACCAAGGCAAACTGTAAGCAAAAACGTCAAGCTTGCTTTATGTTAAAATTGTTATTAGATGTTTTTTTCGTGGCATCACTAAATCTAGATTTTCAGATCGATTGCTTAAAGAGAATCTTATTTGTATTTTGATAACATTGCTACTACTTCTAAAATGCATTAAAAATATTTGGAATGCTCATCTGTCTTATATATACATACATCTGTCATATATATACATCTGTCTTTGTGTCTCCAAATTCGAGCTTTACAGCCATGAAGCTCTCAGAGACTATCTTGACTTCTCATTCAGAGACTGTAAGCTCATTTGTAGATAAAGAAGAAGTAAACAAAATGCAAATGTTAAACAAAATATTCATTTGATTAAAAATGATCTAATTCTGAAATTATGATGATGATGCTTCTCTGTGACTATAACTATTGCTCATTGTATAACGCAAGTCACTCGCGTGCCTTTTTTTTTTATTGCTTAGATGGGTGAACGAGCTCACAGCCCATCTGGTGTTAAGTGGTTACTGGAGCCCATAGACATCTACAACGTAATTGCGCCACCCACCTTGATATAATTATAAATTTGCGGGTTTGATTTTTATTACACGATGTTATTTCTTCACCGTGGAAGTCAATCGTGAACATTTAAGTACATATTTCATTAGAAAAAATTGGTACCCGCCAGCGGGATTCGAACACCGTTGCATCGCTAGATACGATTGCACTGGTCGTCTTATCCTTTAGGCCACGACGACTCTTGAGTATTAGAAATGCAGATGACATACATAACAATATATCAAAACCTTGAACACGTAAAAATCAGAAGAATAAACGAACATGCATTTACTAATTTTAATATAATATATTTTGATGTAACCACATTTATAGTCAGGGTGAAAGTAACGAACCTTCAGGTGCTACTGAATCTGGCGCGAGTCCTGTTCACGCTGCAGTACTTGGACGACGCCATCTACCTGACGCGCCGATCGCTCGAGGTGCAGCCCCCGGACCGTAGCGCATGGCAACAGTACTTCACGCTCGGCGAGATATTCAAAGCGTACGGACATTATCAGGTACGCGTTTTTAATCTATACATTTTATCCATAAAATAAAATCCGGTAGGCAACAGCTTGGCTCTGCCCCTAGCATTGCTGAAGTCCATGGGCGACGGTAACCACTCACCATCAGGTGGGCCGTATGCTCGAATGGAAACAAGGGCAATAAAAAAAAATTAATATTATTAAGCTGAAGAGTTTGTTTGTTTGAACGCGCTAATCTCAGGAAGTACTGGTCCGATAGTGTTAGATAGCATAGATTTATCGAGGAAAGCTATAGGCTATATAACATCACGCTAAGACCAATGCAAGCGGAGCACCAACAAAGAATGTTTCAAAATAGGGGTTTCAATCCCTTTTGAGAGCTTCCGCTGCATGCGCTGCAGAAACGGTTAAAGTTTCACTAAAGTAATGATTAAGAGTCTTCTGTGTATCTGCATCTGTCTAATGTATGAGAGTCTCTTTTGAAGTCGGTTAAAAAGCGTGATTTTGGTACCTTAAATAACTTTAAAATTCTATTATTCAAAAATATTTTCACTTTCTACGTAAATGAAGAGGTGTGTAAAATTTAGTGCTCCTAGAGGCAAACCTAGCGAAACTAAGCACACAGAGGACCAGCCGATCTGTATAAATTAAAGCCCAAAACACATCATTTCGGGCCCTTTTTTTATTTTTTATTGCCTAGGTGTGTGGACGTGCTCACAGCCAACCTGGTGCTAAGTGCTTACTGGAACCCATAGACATCTACAACGTAAATGCGCCACACACCTTGAGATATAAGTTCTAAGATCTCAGTATAGTTACAACGGCTGCCTCACCCTTCAAACCGAAACGCATTACTACTTAACGGCAGAAATAGGCAGGGAGGTAGTACCTACCCGCGCGGACTCACAAGAGGTCCTACCACCAGTAATTACGCAAATTATAATTTTGCGGGCTTAACCCGATCCGCTAACGGTGCTTTTAGGTACCTCAAGCACCGGTTATCGTTCTCGTTGAACCCGTCACTTGCGACGATGGGCTTGACGAGTAAATTAACCCACAGACACAGTCCACTGAGTTTCTCGGCGGACCTTCTCAGTGGGTCGCGTTTCCGATCCGGCGGTAGATTCTGCGAAGCACGGCTCTTACTAGGGTTCGTGCTAGCAACGTCGTCAGGCTTGAGCCCCGTGAGCTTACCTACTAGTTAAGATTACGCTGAAATAGCCTCTCAAGGCTATCAGCTTAGGTAGGAGAAAAAAAAAGGAAATTAAAAGGTTTACTTGAATCTAATATTTGTTTCAGGAAGCAGCGCTTCACCTGAGACACGCGCTGGCTCTGAAGCCGGACTTCGAGCCAGCGCTCGCTGCACTCAAAGATATCGAGAATATACCGGAGGCTTCGGTTCACGTGTACACATTACTCATCATAATTTGTTTGGTAAGGATTAAATGATATGGGAGAGAGAGGGAGTATTCTTTATTGTACACCAACAAAAGAAACAATGTGAAACATTAAATACAAACAAAATGTATAAGCGGTCTCATCGCTAAGAGCGATGTCTTCCAGACATCCATCAGGTGGAAAAGAATCGTTTGGAAACTAATTAGACACGGAATACCAATCAATTGAAATATATATATATATATACACTCACATATATACATACATATGCATACACAAATTCCTTACTATATACATTTATAAATATACATACAAATACACAATGTAACGTAATAATAATTTTGCTATTTTTTGTAGAACATCTAATTTTGTAGGTTTTATTTTACATCAAGTGAGTAATAACTACTCTGTGAACTTATCTGATGTCAAGTTTTTAGGGATACCTATGAACTACACAACATTCTTTGACACACAAAGACGGATTCTTAATGAATGTAATATTGACATGACGACTTTTTATACACGAAACCGGAATACATTCGCGCCAAAAATAGGGAGCACCACCATCCTAGAATCAACCTTCGCACCGGCTCCAAAAACAGGAATTACATGAAAGAATTGGACCGGAAAATTGAAGTTCCTGTATATATCAGTGTGCTTAGTGCACGTAACAGCGCCCCTAGCGGCAAACATAGGCAAACGTTCCAACTCCATACAAATTTGAGTTAACTTTTACGCTATCGAGAACATTAAACAACTCGCACTAAGCACACAGACTAACATCATTGTTTTTTTTTTCTTCATAAAATGAAGGACTATTTGTGAAGGAGAATTAATAATAATGAGAACGAATTACAGTCGTGGTTGTAAATAAAAATATATTTCTTTTTAAGGTAATGGGTGTACTGCTAGTGATATTGTCGTCGGTGGACAGCGGCACCGACACGGAGGAGCCCAAGACGCAGAGACACTTCAACCGAGCGATGGCGATGCGATCTCTCCGGGGCGTCGCCTTCTCCGGCTCGAGACGGAAGAAAGGCGGATCCTAAAATACAGTACCGAACAAAGCCCCTTAACTCGAACGAACTGTTTGATTCAAACCTCACGTATTTGATGAAGTTCTTTAAATCGATGCCTCCAATGAACACTAACTCTAAATTCGTAGGTTTACAGGAGGAGAGTTTAAACGAAAAAAGTTGGTAAAATCTTTATTATTGCAGATATATTTATGTTTTTTCTTGTGTAACTAGCTGATTTACTCTTGCTTCGAACCCCATCAATAATGAATTTGTAATACTTTTAAAATAGTGAAGCGATTTGCGTGAAAAACGAAAATTTCAAAATTTTGAGTTAGAATAGTGTTCATTAGAGGCATCGAAATGTATATATAACTATACACTTATTGTATAACGCAAGTCAATCGCGTGCCCCTTGAGTGTTAAAAATGCAAATGCTAACAACAACTGTAAATCTTAAACACATAAAAATCAGAAGAATAAACGAACATGCATTTACTAATTTTATGTAATATATTTTTATGTAACCACATTTATAGTCAGGGTGAAAGTAACGAACCATCATATTGTATAGTATAGTATATACTATATAAATTCGTCACTCCCTCACCGTGGAAAGTAAAGAAAAAAAGTCTCGTTAAGCTAGCTCAAAACCTGCCTAATTAATCTGGAATTTTAATAGAATTGTAAAGGATCAAAATGTTTTAAGTAATACCAACACTCTGTTGTTTGAATCAAGCAGTGGTGCAGTTTTGGGGCGCCATTTTTATAAGCCTGAGTACATGACCTCCATTAAACAAAACCCGACTGTTGGAAATTATACCTTCACTTGTTATTATTGAAACTTTTAAATTAAAACCTATTAGTACAAAAATAAATAATGAATTTGCTCAAGTTATTGTTGATTTACGTTGTGATTTGCATTTAATTAAATATTCTAATTTGTTTCTAATTAATAATAATTCTAATCAGAGGAGTGTGAATTGGTATACAGTTTTCAATAGTCGGCATCCAAATTATAATTGTACATGTATGTATTACAATAGATTGTCTATTTTATTTCCTGTCGTATACTCATCAATAGATTTTCGTACAAATTTACGATTTTCCGAGTTTCATCTTATGATATATATATTTTTTTTTTGTTATTTAGCATTTGGTTTTACATACTTTAAATTCAATGTTTTACAAAAACCACATAAAAGTATTCAAGAAATATATTTTTGTAATAATTCTAAACTTTTACATTTAGTTTAAGTACATTCTTTGTAACATTACGAAACTGTGTACAGTTTACGGTACGTAACATTTTTTGAGTTCCTATTTGATACCTATGATCTTTGTTTTCTTTTTGTTTGTTTTTTTTTTTTTTAATTGATTTCGTTCATATAGTATGTATATGAATTAACGGGAATAAATATTGGCACAATGTTTGGCAAATTATAAATGTAAAGATTCATCATTATAAATATTTTAACGTAACGTTTTAGGTCATGTAAAATTACGGATGGAGTCAAGTTACAGTATTCGAAACGACTGTTTGTTTATAGTTTTAATGTGTTTTTTTTTTCACTTTTTTGTTGTTATTTTATATGGAGATCTTAAACTCAGGCCGAGATAACGATCAAACTTTTTGTTTGCAAGAAATCGCCAGTTGATTCTGAAATGATACCGCCGTCTGTACGTTAAAATTGAACTTTAAACTTAGCACTGTTCCGTTTGTTAGCATTGTTTTATTTTTCTTTAAACATTCTTAATTTAAACTTAGTAAGATTTTGATGATTAAAATAGTAATATACGATTCAAAAATGTTGATTTTGATTTTGTATGTTTTTTTTTTACGATCTGGGAAGCTACGATATGACTGGTTGTGTTTTTTTTATTATTATCTTAACGGAACAGTGCTAACTCTAGGAATTGTCTATAAAACACGTTCATTTAAACGAGGCCAAAACGGTCTTGCCATGTCTTGTTTGATCTCTGCTCTGTAGTACTTTACTCACTACATAGTCATTTTAGCAGTTTAAAAATACGATACCATATTTTTTACATGCAAAATAAACTAACCAAATCCGCTCCGTTCAGAGTAAAGTGTACGTATTTTTAAGATATTGTTCTTATTTTAACAAACGCTTTTTGATAAGTAATAGTAATTTTACGATGTTTGTAGCCAGTTGAAATAATGTGAACCTCGATTTTTTTATGTATCGTAGTTTCGACACGGAAAATAAGAATAATATATGTGTTACGTAACAAATTTTTATATATAAACAAGGACGAAGAAATGAAAAGCTAAAATAAAAAAAAATGTCCCTAGAACACAGACCATAAACATTTTCAGGCTATTACTTTTATAACATGGCAACCTTTCATACCACACATCTGTGGTTAATTCAAAACTGCTAAAGACTTACGGGAATACAAAAATTAAATCAATAAAGACACGTTTGTGGCCAGCAAAGCAACGAAAGTATCACCTGCAACCTAGTCATTCGCTTAGACAAGTCGGCCATCGTGGCGTGGTGGCCTGTGTGTCGTTTGTAGTGCATGCTAAAAACTTGTTAAGTGTTCGTAGCCTCTAAGGATTTAATGGAAGAAGCGAGTCTTATAATTCTGAGATCGGTAAAAAATGTACCTGTTTTCAGTGGTTCTTTTTGTTATTTTTTTTTTTGACTATTTATAATATATTGATTGTCTTAGCATCTATTTTCGTTTTTTTTTTTCTTGATACACTGTACTGTGGCCAAAAGCAATAACATCCGGTGGTAAATTCAACGAAGCACTGCTCTTGCTAGGGCTAGTGTTAGCAATGTCTTCAGACTGAGCCCTGTGAGCTTACCTACACTTTGGGTGAAGCTCGCATAACGCTTCGAGGTAACTAGCAAAGTAAGGCAAAAAAGTGGCCAACAATGTTAAGTACTACTGAGACTAACTTACACTGAAGTCTCAAGAACATTATAATAAAGCTCAACTAAATCCGATGAAATATCCACAAACGCATTGCAGTCGAGATAATCTTTAACCGGTAAGGAAAGAGCTTTTTTTTTTGGGGTGTATATTTCTTCAGGGTTTCGACAAAGTGTTCTTGGAAATAATGTTATATCACAGATTAACCGGGAGAAAGAGAACAGTTTCGTAGAATTAAGCTTAGCATCGATGATTAGATAATGTTGACATGAGATTATATTGTAAAAATCTGCTCTTTTATAGCTGGGATGGAAAAACCAGCTTGTCAACACCTAAGCCTAGTGCTATGTGGTTACAGAAGATCGAACATCACATGTATGCCATCCTTAAAATAGAAGGGTTTGGAGACAAGTGATGGCATCGCCCGAAACCCGCAGAACACATTAACTTAATGATTGTTAGTCTTAATAATATTAAGACTACTACTTTTCAACCGTAACAGCAGGGCACGTGAAATTGTATTAAAGGTGTCTAAACAACGTCATTTCGGATCCTCCCGATCCACTAACGGTGCTTCTAGGTATCCCAAGCACCGACCAACATTCTCGTCGAACCCGTCGCTTGCCACGAAAGGCTCGGCGAGTAACCGGCGAGTTAACCCACAGACAGCCCACTAAGTTTCTTCGCCGGATCTTCTCAGTGGGTCGCGTTTCCGATCCGGTGGTAGATTCTGCGAAGCGCGGCTCTTGCTAGGGTTTGTGTTAGCAACGTCATCAGGTTTGAGCCCCGTGAACTCACTTACTAATTCGGCGAATCTAGAATAACCCCTCGTGGTTACTAGAATAGGTAGGAAAAAATTTATTATAAACAAGACCGTGTAGAAAATTATAATGTATTTGTTATAAAATGTTTACATATAATGCAAAGAGTTCTCGTAGCAACGTTAAATAAAGCACAAAAAGATGCCAAATTTAGTAACAGCTATTCACAATTTTTGATAGCACTTATATACCTAGATAACCAAACAGACTTGAGAAGCATGATGAAACTAGTGTTTGTATGTTATTGATATTTAAAAGTATAATTGACAACTCGAAGAATGGCGTAACCCAAAATCGCATTATCTCCAAGGGTAACAATAATGAAAGCGGTTTTTCATTTTTATAATTTGTTCGTTTACAAACATGTAACAATTTATCTCCATTTTCTGTGTAATGAAAACCAAATTCTCATTTTAGATTACCCTGTTCGATCACTAAATCGATCATTATCATAATTTCATAATCGTCTAGTCCTTTCAATTTCATAAATTCTTTGACGAAATGATACAAGAAAAATATAATGTGTACCAAATGTCAAGAATTCTGATTCAACAGTTGTATGTTATATCAAATTTCAAGTTAAGCATTTCTTCGTGTTGTGTCTGTCCTTGTGATCTAAGCTATGTCATGGATGCCTAAACGGAAAATGTCGTGCTGAACATAAAATGAATCTCCGAGTGGCTTCAACACGAAGGTTTGCATGTACAGATGTGGAGGATCTTCGTCACACTGAAAATAAAAAATAAACAATTTAAAATTAGAATCCTTAGTATTACAAAATCTACGTATAGTCAGTTAAGGAATAATGCATCTAGACCCTGAAAACTTTTTGGATCTGTTGTTGTTGTTGGATCTACAGATTATACAGAACCTTACGAAACTTTGCTATATTACAAATTCTTTCCAAATGACATGAGAACCCTTCTTAATTTTTTGAATAGAAAACGATAACATAATTATTAAAGTTTATTAACAGATACATATGTATATAGCAGTGCTTCCTAAGTGTTTTTCGTTTTCGTACCTTTTAATAAAACTTTACATTTGAGTATCCACCCATATCCTGATAACCTCATACCTACTCCTAAAAATTCATCTCGTTTCTCGTCACAGACACAAACTTAACCAGGCAATATACAAACGAATGTGCGGCATTTTACCAACCCAACACTGAGTCTGACACTTCTAAATAATATATTAAATAACTTTAAAATATAGCGCTACAAAGGAATCTTTCATTCATAAGGAAACCAGCCAGTGGAACGTGCTCCAAGGTTTTTGCCTTACATCAAAGAAGAGTATTGGCAATATATTTTGGTGTGCGTAAAGAAAACTACTAGTACTACTACAAGACTAAAATGCAGTTTTACTTTGCAGGATCCAGGTATTTATAAACAGGATTTTAAATGTGCACTCTCAGATATAGGAGATTTATAGGTTACAGTTAATGAGCACATTGTAGACATTAAGAGTTATTGAATACACAAGCTCGCAGTTTATTAACATGGGCTAGACAGCTCTATTAACCATTCAGTTAAATTTGAATATAAATACTGACCAAAGAAAGCTAGTTACACATATAGTGTGTGAGGTCATGAAAATAAAATTTAAAATACCCTAATTTTACAGAGAAAATGATTAGCTCTTAATTAACACCTAGGATTCTCGTGACTACAAAAACACAAGCAAACAAACTGCCAGAGTTTAAGATAGTTGTTTGTGTGTGAAAAGACATCACTGTCAAGAAATATTTTAGAGAAAGCTAGCAGTTAGAAAAATATTCAAAGGTAGACAAAAACACCTTATACATACATTACCACAAAAATATACTGTATTTCAAATGACGTAAATAACATTTTTTTTAAATAAAGATGATATTAAATGATAAAATTAATTTATAGTATTTACTATAAACAACTTTTACTTTATATTATGTGATTCACCTGTTTAGGTAAATAAAGCAATTATATTTTTAATTAAACACATAAAGTTAAATGTTGATTTATATTTACTATTTACCTTCAATCTTCCAAGGACATTAATTAAAACGCCTCCATCAAACATTGGCTGGGAATCCACGGCAGTTACTATTCTAGTGATTTTTTGAAAAGTCAAACTCTGTAATATTAATTTTCATTTTTTATTAAAAATAAGGTTATTTCTAGATTGATAGACCTAACGACAATTTTACTACAATCCTACCTTTGTTGCTCTACCAAAATAGATGCCTTCTGGTCTAAAACAGCAACATGGCTTATATAGCTTCTTAGTAGCAGTAATTTAACAGATATCCTACTCAAAGATATACTACTACTGAGGAATTGAGACTAAAAAGTTTAATGTATACAAAAAAATTATCAGTTCAATAACAACTAAACAAAGCCTGTAAATATAAGCACTGTTCCTAAATACATAACTGTACTTTTGATTGTGTTAGAGAAGATTTTTAGTGTAATACCTTTAAAATTGGTAAAAAGAACTTTAATTCTTATTTACTCACATTTAATTTTTCCATAATTTTAACAGCACCCTGCAGTTGTACTCCCTCAAAGGTCATGAATGAAGTTTCAACCTGCAAGACAAGTCATTATTAATAACTTCACAAGCAACAAACAGTCCTGAAACAGCATTGTTTAAGCGTTTATTAAATTTATGTTTATACAACATTGTTAAAAAAGGAGTATAATTTAAAATTTAACGCAATATCCAGTTGACACCAATTTATCACCATAGTGGGCATCAACAAATACATCATTTAAAAGATCTAGAATAAAATTGTACTAACACATGGCAACACAATTCTAAAAAGGACATATTTAAATTACACTTAAAATAGAGGCTTTGTATCGTTTCTTCAGTCTAAATTCTACGTAATTGCTTTATATGAGAAGCCGAGTTTCGCAGTCGGTAAAACCAGACAGTAACCTCTTAACAAAATTTAAATCGTAAAATACTATTTTCAAAATGTGAGAGAAGGGAAGATAACCATAATATAATAAAAATAACGGTACAGTAATAATACTCACATTGTACATATTAACAAGATTTGCCCGTTGAGCCGGATCATCGAACAATGTGTAATATTGTTGCACAAAACCTTTACCGATTGCATCGTACTGCGGATTGAGCGCCATTTAGATTAAGATGTGTCTATTTGTCACTGTAAAAGATTGATATCTTTGAATATACAAAAAAATTGAATAGGAAGGTGTTCACTTAACTTTATTTAAATATTAGGCGTCTACACACCACCAACAAAAAGCCCAATTCCAGCCGAAAAATTCAAGATGTGACGAACTGACGAAAAGGGGCTTGAAAATTTATTCTGCTTGTTGACAGTTATGACATATATTTTTTTAATGATTCTGAATGTAGTGTCTAAGAGGTATAAGATCATAAAACACTACTATTTTCTACTAAAGCTGTGCTGTTTCCACTATTATGGATTAAAAGTATTAAAATCTAATGTTCTGACGTACTTTTTAGGAAAATCCTGTAATATATTTTTCAATTGTTATTACAAAATAAGTCAAACTTGATCCACGTAATTCTTCAGATTAAAAGTACATTTCTTCTTCTTCGTCGCTTCCTCATTACTGTGGATCATGAGTCGTGACCACCTTGGTCTAATTGTACTAGTTTCCTACAATGCTGCCTGCATTTGGTCTGCTGAATGGCACCCGGAACGCTGGTGTTTGTGGCTTCCTTGGCAATGTCCGTCCATCTGGTTGGAAATCTTCCTCGAGCTCTCTTTCCTTCCACGTGACCTACAATTATTATTTTTTCCAATTTGTCAAGATTTCGTCAGGTCACGTGTCCGAAGTACTTGAGGAGATGCTGCATACAGATCGTAGATAGACAGGTCTTGACGTTTAGCTCCGAGAGAATTGATATATTTGTTCGGCGCTCCGTCCATGATACGACCAACATTTTGCGCCAACATCACATTTCAAATGCGTCAATTTTCAATCGGATACGGGCCTTGAGGGTCCACGTCTCAGAAGCGTACGAGAGTATGGAGAAGATAAGGGTTCTCATGAGCTTTATCTTAGTTTTTTGTTTATGCTGCGATTTCTCCAAATCTTCATAAATTTGATTCAATTCTTAAAAAAAAAACCAAAACTATTTCATTACACTTTTCATTATTTTTTAAATTGTAAAAAACAATCAAAAGTCACCGTCCTGTGAGACCTTTTGGCGGGAACGCGAAGAGCGAAGTTGTGTGAATTGTTTTAATTTGTTTATTTAGTATTTCTTTAGGTTTAAATGTGTAATAACGGTGGTTAATTATGAACTATTTAGTATTTATGAATATGCACAAATGTGGGAAAATGAAATAAAACTGCTGGGCGCAGCTTCTCGGGATCTACTGAAAAGTTCACTGAAAAGTCTTATTAAATATCTAACCACTATTTTACTGAGATTATATTTTATCCCATATCATCTCATCTTATTTCATTTAATTTCATCTCTATTAATGAATATCTCCAGTTAATCAACTTAAATTCATTTAGCTTCATATCATTTCCATGAAAGAGAATCTATAATCTATATCTATATCTATACTAATATTATAAAGAGGAAAGATTTGTTTGTTTGTTTGTTTCGAATAGGCTCCGAAACTACTGGACCGATTTGAAAAATTCTTTTTCCATTAGAAGCCGACATTGTCCCTGATGAACATAGGCTACTTTTTTAATTTTTTTTTCTATTTTTTTTTGGTTTCATGTGTGTTTTAATGTTTCCGAAGCGAAGCGAGGGCGGGTCGCTAGTTTATGAATAAACCTATCGTATGATACCTTCGTCTTTATACTTGGAATTACTACATACTAGGTAGGTACGGTACCGTACTACTTACTACTGTCAAGTACCGTACTGTCATTTCTGTTTACTTTTCAAATTAACTATTGCAAATATTAGTCGCCGTAGGTACATAGGTAGGTAAATCATTTAGTTTTGGGTACAAACTATTGAAGTTTAATGACATCGCTGACTAAAAAATCAAATGAATATTTATAATGTATACTAAATGAAATATACTGGACAGCTGTGAAAGTCGATTTGAGTAAAAAACTGTAATAATTGTAGAATATTACAGAATACAATAGAAACAGAACAAGCTCACACATAAACTTAACACTCAGAAAATCAATTTAGTTCTACAGAAGCATGTCTCTAGCTGACGAATTACTTGCTGATTTAGAAGAAAATGACGATGGTGAACTCGAAGCTGCTATCGAGAGCAAAACCAAAGAAGAATACGACTTTGCAGTTCCATATCCCGTCTTACCTAAAGAAGAAGAAATCAAGAATGTCTCGATAAGAGAACTCGCGAAACTAAGATATTCTGATCGTCTGAAACGTGTATGTATTTAATAAAGTTTCTTGAAGAACAGTTTAAATATAAATTATATACAATTTTTCATGTAAACAACTTTTAGGTTATGAGTGAAATAGAATGTAATGCTGGAAATAACAGAAATAAGGTTGAAGTTGCTGGCTTAATGGAGTCTGACCCTGAATATCAACTGATTGTGGAAGCAAATAATGTTGCTGTTGAAATTGATGGTGAAATAGGTATGTATTCTAATCTCTATTTTTCATGTGTTGATTTGTTTATTAAAACAGTTTCAGAAAATTGAACTTTTATGATTGAACGTAGTGTTAATAGTTCTCTTTTCATGAAATTATTATCTTGGTTGTCTAATTATTACTGCTTACAATATTAAAGTCAAGAAATGCAAATTTTCAGCTATTATTCACAGATTTGTCCGTGACAAATATCAGAAACGGTTTCCTGAATTGGAATCTCTAATCATCACTCCATTGGAATACATAAGGACAGTGAAAGAACTTGGCAATGATCTGGACAGGGCTAAGAATAATGAAATATTACAGAGTTTTCTAACTCAGGCCACTATTATGATTGTTTCTGTTACTGCATCTACAACTCAAGGGTTAGCTTCTTATTTGTTTTCTATTTGTGGTCTATTTTGTTTGTTACTATAAATTAATGCTTTCACTCTGAGATACATCGTGCCACATATCATTGAATTGTGAGAGCATTGATATTGTAGAATTCGACTGATGCATGACCACAACCACTCTGTTGTGTACGACTAGGAAGAAGAAAGAATAAATGTAAATACATATTTACAAATGCATCATTTCAAATTCATTTAAATTATTAAGGTGGACTAGAGTACACAACAGGGACTTTGAAGATTTATTTGGATGAACATTTTGTGTAAAATAGTTACTTATTAAACAACTCAATCATTTGACAATCTACAGGAAATTATTAAGCCAAATTGAACTAGAAGAAATCAATGAGGCCTGTGATATGGCAAGTGAGCTGAACAACTTCAAATCGCAAATATATGAGTATGTTGAAAGTAGAATGACTTTTATTGCACCAAACATAACTGCCATTGTTGGTAAGTGATACATTCTGTTGCCTAGCATTTCTAATATAAATTCCATTTAACACTCCCAAAACGATTAGTGGTAACAATTGCGCAATCACCCTTAGCCAACTGAAATTATTCCCCTCATCATATAATTTCCAAAATAGCAGAATATTGGAAGGACAAAATTGTAAGTGCATCAGAACTCTAAATTGTAACCCTTTTAAAATAACATTTGCTTGACAAAGTAGAGAAACGATCTGTTAGAACGAAATGTTTTTTCTGTAGCAATTTATTCCCTTTTTACAATGCTCAGGAGGTCTGACCTGTTTGGTAGTTTGCACTCAGTTCTTGTCCATCATTGGATGGCCTTATTTATACTAAAACCATATCCAAAAATTTGTTGAGAGTGCTTGGGTTCTACGTTTAACAAACCACCTTCCAATGGTCTAGACATTAAAATAATTTAACTAATCCCCCTCGCGACAAAATATTTAACCATATTGATATATTGGTAGTTGTTAATCAACTACAATAGTATATTTCTTAAAGAAATGTGAGCATATTAAATGAATACTTTTTCTAATTGAAGGGTATGTGTGAATGAGGTCAGAATTATCCTGGTGATAAGTGGTTATCGAAGCCCATAGTAAGCACAATGGCACCACAAGCTCTTAGTTATATTTTATAAACCATCACACCATCCAAACCAGAACTTAACTGCTTCATGGCACAAATATCCAAAGATAATGAGAACTACCCATGCGGGTTTACAATATGCTGTACCACCTGCGAATTTCTATCAAAACTATGTATTTCAGGAGCATCAACAGCAGCAAAAATCCTTGGTGTGGCCGGTGGATTGTCTAAATTATCAAAGATGCCAGCGTGTAATGTGTTACCTCTCGGGCAACAGAAGAAGACACTGTCAGGCTTCTCGCAAGCAACAGCTCTACCTCATACTGGGTTCATTTATTTCTCACAAATTGTACAAGATACAACACCTGTGAGTAATCTGAATAGGATGATAATATAATATGAAAACATATTTTTTTAAGTATGACAATGGTATATTGAAGTTTTTTGTACTGAAATGTATTTTAGCCGTTTTACTCAGACTTAAACATTTTCTACTCCTGCAGTATTTCAGTTGATTTCTTAAAGATGTGATCACTATAAGCGAATAAGGTTTTTGAAACAGCCATGTTTCTGGCTACAACTCTATTATATTGAAAGTGCATAGGGAGCGTATTTAAAGAGTTTAGCCAATTCAATTTTACTAAACTGAAGAAATGAAAGAAATTGTTTGTGATCATGAATTTTCTTTTAATCCACCGTCCGTCTTGGACTAGAGTGCTTCTCTGATAACGGGAACCACTATGTTCATATGCAGTATATCATGATGAAAGAACAGGTTGCAGATGGTAATGATCATAATATTGATCGATATCGTCAGCACAGGCGTCTTGGTATACCTATGGTGCAGGGTGTAGGCGTAGGAGTGATAGGGGACGCCGGCTTCGGCACTTTCAATGAACCTGTTACATTTGCAGTGATTCCATTTTGACCACGCCTTTACGAGGGTAATTATTGCACTGGGATGCTACATGGGCCAGAGATGCCTTTGATCTTTAAATAAATAATTGCATATTTCTTTTGATGTCCACCGAAAAAACGAGTGTTCAAATCGATGCCTCCAATGAACACTACTCTAACTCCAAATTCGTAGGTTTACAGGAGGAGAGTTTAAACGAAAAAAGTTGATAAATATATCTGCAATAATAAAGATTTTATGGTTTTTTCTTGTGTGAATAGCTGATTTACTCTTGCTTCGAACCCCATTAATAATGAATTTGTAATACTTTTAAAATAGTGAAGCGATTTGCGTGAAAAACGAAAATTTCAAAATTTTGAGTTAGAGTAGTGTTAATTGGAGGCATCGAAATGAAAGTAATTTGACGTAGATTTCTTAATGACAGGAGCCTGCATGAAATTTTTATAAATAATTTTCCTTTCCCTCAGGAATTAAGGTACAAAGCTGCGAAATTAGTGTCGACTAAGTTAACATTAGCGGCCCGTGTGGACGCGTGCCACGAGAGCACCGATGGGCACATCGGTCGGCAACTGCGGGAAAACATCGAAAAGAAACTAGATAAACTACAGGTAAGTTTAATTATTTATAAGCGCGACTATGATATCAAGTCGACGTGGCCTATATGATATGATGCCTGGGGTACTCATATCGAGCGATGCCACTATACCGGTGTTCGAATCTCGGAGCCCGTCAAAAATTTTTGTAAAGAAATATGTACTTAAAATGTATTTACGAATGTCTTCCATGAAAGAATAACATAGTGCAATACAAATGAAATCAACAAAATTTATAAATAGTAGGTTTCACTAGCCTATTTACAACAACAACAACAAAGTAACAACATTCACATTGTGATGTCTGTACATCACAACGTGAATGTTGTTACTTTGTTGTTCAGACGTTCGAGTAACGACTTACATCAGATCGGTTAATGAGGTCGATCACCTATCCCCACAACAAAAGTCATTCGACTTAAAGCTTAATATATAGCTGAAATTCTCTATTCAAGTTTTAAACTGGGACTTTCCATTTCACCATTGGGCTGCGGGGTGATGACATTGGCAAGGGCCTGGAAGGTGGATAACGAAACCTTTGCATAAATTAGTTTATTTATTTATTTCCAAATGTATTTATTACTAAACTACATAGAACAAATCAGTTTTGAGATTGTAGCTCCTTCAATTCAGTAGCGTAAAGATCTAACCTTGACGTCATGTTGAAGCCCCATTGATCCCTTACTTGTCTGTTCAAATTCAAGTCTATTTCCACGATCATAAGTCCATCCCTTAATCTCGATAATGCCGGAGTTCTACATCCGTTAGGCGCTGTAACATAACTGGATCCATAATAAGTTCTCTCGATAGTACCACCTGAGGTCGAATTAAATGTTTCCGTGCCAACTCTATTGATGCTGCAAGTAAAGTATCCGTTCGCGATGGCTGCGTTTCGAGCCTCGATATTCCAGAATGATTCCCCGAATTCGGCTACAGTGGCCGAAGGATTGAACACGATTTCAGCTCCATTCAAACCTAACATCAACCAATTGAGCGCTTGATGCCGCCCGTAGCAAATGTTTATCGCAATTTTGGCGTATTTTGTATCGAACACTGGGTGGCCCATGTTACCCGGGGCGTAATATGGCGTTTCACTAAAACTGCCCACGCTTGGTAGATGATTCTTTCGATGTTTACCCATAACGTTGCCTTCCTCATCGATCACCACAGCCGTGTTCCACCATGTTCCGTCATCGTCTTTTTCTAATATAGGAGACACAATTACCAATCCATATTTTCTTGCTAAATCCTTTAAAAAAATTACACTGCGACCTTCTGTGGCTGATTCGGCAAATTCATCCCACTTTTCCTTTTCTCTCGTGCATAGAAAGAATGGCATCGACCATGTTTCTTCCAAGCATATTATTTGAACGCCCTCCGATGCAGCCGTATTTATGATTTTTTCAATTTTAGTAAGTATCGCTTCTCTTTGTTCACGGATCGATTCGCATGTCGGTAATAGAACAGAATGTTGTATGAGTCCGATCTTAACTAGTCTTGGCGGTCTAGATTCTCGGGCAGCGGAAAAGTAATACGAAGCTAATTCGAAGTTATTTTCTTCGCTTGATATCAACGATGACTCTTTGACTTTCAACTCACAGTGGTCCTCACGGCCGTAATATATTTTATTAAATTCCTTCAACACTTTGGGATTTAATTTGTTTTTAATTATGTTATCAAACGTTAATTCGGAATGTCGTTCCATATTGAGCGAACGTGCACGTCTGACACTGACAGTTCATAAATGTGATTACGTAAATATATCTTGAACTCCAACAGTACGAGATATCGATATACAAAATTAACATACGTCACTATTGTGTTTAAAGTTCAATCAACTCTTGAGGGAACATCATTATTGGGACATCGTTTTTATTAAATAATTTAGCACCAATAATCGATTTGAGGTGTCAATTTTTATGCATTATTATCAACGAGCTAAAACTCCCAACTACTCATACAATCTCGGGTCACGGGCTGTAGTACGGTGGATACTAAATTTTAATGACAGATCAATAAATTAAGCAATCACACACTGTGTATATGTATGTATGTACCAGTTTAAACATATATAGATATTAAACACCTAAATAAAATGCAAATAAACGCAATCATTAGCGCCATTGAGTCAGTCTATTAAGCGATGCTATTTACAGCAAAAAACAAAACAACTCGTACAGAACTTTCAGTTAAAGTTCCATTTGCCCTACGTGAAATGTTTTCTGTTTAAAAAAAAATACAGTCGAATTCGTTGGAATCTCCCACCAGGAACCCCCACCGGTGAAGTTCGTGAAACCCCTACCGAAGCCGATCGAACAAAGCAGGAAGAAGAGAGGCGGCAAACGTGTCAGGAAGATGAAGGAGCGTTACGCTATGACCGAGTTCAGGAAGAACGCCAACCGACTAAACTTTGCTGACGTAAGTTTTACAATATATACACTGTACTGGTACTTGGTACTGGTGGTAGGCCCTTGTTGTGAGTCCGCGCGAGTAGGTTCCACCACCCTGCCTATTTCTGCCGTGAAGCAGTAATGCGTTTCGATTTGAAGGGTGGGGCAGCCGTTGTTACTATACTTGAGACCTTAGAACTTATATCTCAAGGTGGGTGGCGCATTTACGTTGTAGACGTCTATGGGCTCCAGTAACCGCTTAACATCAGGTGGGCTGTGAGCTCGTTCACACATCTAAGCAATAGAAATAAAAATATAACACCAAAATTTGTCGTTGACTCTAATTGACCAGTATTTAGAAGTCGTCGTAGCCTAAAGGCGGTGACGCTCTTGTATTGAGCGATGCGACTAAACCGATATTCAAATCTCGCAACAGGTACCGTTTTGTAAAAGAAATACATAGTTAGAACGTTAATCCGAATGATAAACGTTAATAAAGGAACCCGCTAACAATAGTAGGGCGTGCTATAAGTCGATACATTATACACTTGGCACCGTGTATATCACTGTACACTTGCCACCATCGTGCCTATGCCTACCTTGAAGAAGTCATGCATTTCGATTTGAATGATGGGACATTTTTATAGCAGACAGCACAAGCACAGTTGAGACGTTTCAAAGTGTATAAAATCTATAGGACCGCTCCTCAATGGCTATTTTATTTTGTTCAAAAAATCTAGATACCCAAGGACTGTCTGGCTTACTGAACCATCCATATTTTTTGGGTTAGCTCATCTTCATTTCAGTATTTGAATTTTTGATAATTATGTCTAGCCTGAAGTTGTTTTTGATTTTTTTAAGAATTTGATCACTCTGATCTCCAATTATGTCCGTCTTCGTCAGTCTTTAGTGCTTCAAGTATGGGCATCCCGGTAAATGATGTTACCATGATTAAACAAAGGGTAGGAAATTCGATCGCGTGGTTATTTCCCGTCGACATCACCTACCTACCTATACTATCATCTCCTACCTACCTATCCTATCTCTTCGAGGTTGTCATGATTTCTGCGAGCTCTTAAAAACGCACGTCAGTAATTCACGTTGTCCATTGCACATATCCGATCCTTTAAACTTCACCACTTTGACTGCCTGAAACCGTATCATTATCTCAACGCGAGAGTACCGCTACACAACCATAATATCGTATCGTTAATTATATCGTTCGAATAAAATTAACAAGCGTAATAATGAAAGCATTAAAACCGGATCAGAGACGCGGCGCTTTGCACAAAACTTCCGCTAATTAACTTCGAAACGTCAATAAGAATTCGATGAATTAAAATCGGATAACGTAATGCTATGACGACGCTGTCTGTACATACTATTAATTACACAAACGATTTGAATTCACTTAGCTTATTAAAGTCTTATGGTAGGCAGCGGCTCGGCTCTGCCCGTGGCATTGCTGACGTCCATGAGCGACGGTGACCACTTACCATCAGGTGGGCCGTATGCTCGTCTGCATCAACGGCAAAAAAAAAAGGCTTGAATCGAACCTGGAATCTGACTTTGCAGTTGTCAGAAGGACACTTATGAATGACACTATTGGGAGTTTGATAATGCATTCGTGTACTGCTTTATTTAAATGCGCTCACAATAATTGAAACAATTTTCTTTGTATAAAAAATACGGAAATCATAACTCTTCAGCCTGAGCAAATCTATCATTATATGGGAATAATAGTATACAATTGAATGATTCGATAATTGAGAACTAGCAGTTGTATGATTCGAATGAGATATACCAAAAGAGTTTATGACTGATTCGGCGAACTTATTTATTTGCTAACGCAGTAGAGTGCTGACTTATGTATCCAATTTACATTATCATAAACAGACGTCACCAGTTGTTTTTCTCACGAGTAGAGATTTTTTTTTCTTTACCCATTTGAATCTTCAAACTCATTGAAACTTCATTGAATAACCCCGAGCCTTCGAAACAGCGTTTAAATAAAACCAATTAGTTTAAAATTTGTTTCATCATCATTAAACGAATCAGGTAATAAATAGAAAACACCTATGATTCCATACACAAACTCGTGCAGTCGATTCAATATGCAATAAAAGTTAATTGTAATTCCCGCATGCATCAACGACCAAGCGAGTCTATGTAAGTTACACATTGCGCCTTACGGTACAAATTCAAGAATTATTTACATATCAAATTATTTTATCTTAACACTCTTCAAATGTAAAAAAAACGTGTGGCACTCGGGAACTGCCGCGGTAAAGCTATTGCATAGCATTTTTTATCAACTTATGCAATTATAATTAGACAATGATAATTTAATATTAAAACAATAATAAAACAAGACCACGCTATATTAAACATGAATAATAGCAAAACATTAACTGTCCCGTTCACACTCATAAGCTAGACCGCGCGAGAGAGAGATGGGCAGACTTTTCATGATGCACATGCAGTGTAACGTCATGCCACGCGCTTATTCACAAACACTACACAAGCGCAACGTGCGAATGTGTTGAACGCGAGCTACATAGTAGGCTTAATGGTGGTGTCAGGTTATTTTCGTTACGGAATTTCTTGATTCAGTCGCCGCGCTCAAAGCCCGCGATAAAATCTATTCGATAGCTTAAAAATGTCTTTAATCTAGCGCCTGATCTGACGGACGCATATACGTAAGTTCGCACTAAACTGTCTAAATGAAAATCTGTGCAGGGACAGAAATAGACTGCAAGCTATTATGATTTCAACAATTATTAATACAATGTATCGATCAGTCTCCGTGAATCGTAGACACAATTAAAACTACTTTTACAGCTTAATCGTGACTAACGGTCGTGCGTGGCCACGAAAACTGTAAAGTATTCAAACGCTGAAAATAACAGAATGATAATAAAAAACGCAAGATTAAACCGTAAAAGTAGTTTTAATTGAGGTAAGACAAGTGTTACGTAATGGCATTTTGTATAGCCCCAGCAGATGAGCCGTGTACCTGATAACGAGCTGTCACCGATGCTTATAGACACCCCTACGCTTTCTCGCGCCACAATTAAAAAGTTTTACTATTTTACAGGAGAATCCACAATGATTTCAAGGTCACGCTCTTTCTAAATTAATTTATATTCATTACAGCTTACAAAATGTTATAAATTTGTAGCAACGATTATAAATTTAAAAGTAATCTGTAATAATTTATTTGCGAAGGCTTCATAAGGCTTATTATTAATATTATTATCTTTTTTTTATTGCCCAGATGGGTGGACGAGCTCACAGCCCACCTGGTGTTAAGTGGTTACTGAAGCCCATAGACATCTACAACGTAAATGCGCCACCCACTTTGAGATATAAGTTCTAAGGTCTCAAGTATAGTTACAACGGCTGCCCTTCAAACCGAAACGCACTACTGCTTCACAGCAGAAATAGGCAGGGTGGTGGTACCTACCCGTGCGGACTCACAAGAGGTCCTACCACCAGTAACATTACAGCTTACAAGCTTACGATTGTAAATTTAAAAGCGATCTGTAATAATTTTTTTGCGATGGCTTCATAAGGCGTATTAATTCCATTGATACCGATATAAAACGTGACGTCACGCTCGACGGTCCGCGTCAGATGCGTTGAATTTCAAATCGCTATCAGACTAAGTGGTTTGTTGTTTTTCACGTGATTCAAATAGACCGGAACACGACCCGATGGGGCGCTAAGTCCGTGCCGGCACCGCGACCGCTGGCGGCGCGTGCTTCTTCCTAGATTTGTGCAACACACACGAGACACGAGATTGGCCAATTTATTGATTTTTCAGATTCGTTTGCGACGTTGCCGTTGACGTTTGAATTAATCACACTACATAATCGATTTGCGCGGGACTTTTTGGCGGGAACGCGAGGAGTGAAGTTGTGTGATATGTTTTATTTTGTCTATTTAATATTTCTTCGCGTTTAAATGTGTAATAATGGTGGTTTATTAACTGTTTAATATCTGTGAAATGCACAAATGTGGGAAAATGAAACAAAGCCGCTGGACGTAACTTCTCGGGATCCTCCAAAAAGTCCACTGAAAAAATCTTAGTAAATGACCACCATTTTACTGACATTATATTACATCCCATATCATCTCATTTCATTTCATCTCAGTTGATTAATGTCTCAAATTAATCATCTTCATTTCATTTCACTGCATAATATCATTTTTCTTAAAATTATGAATATAAATTAAAATAAGATTTGACTTAAAGGTCTCAGTTACCAGGTCATAAAATCCTTAAAAAATCAATTTGCACGTGAGTAATCCATTTACAAGCGCGAACGCTTGAAATAGCGAACTCGCAAGTTGACTGTTTTTTGTGCATACTCCGAAGCGTATTTGGTCCGTAATCGATGCAACAAATTTTCGTAAAGCAATCAATTCGGCTAACCATGCAGGCAGCTATGACGCACGCTTTGTGGCGCTTTTTATCTTTCTCCGTATCTCGTGTTCTTGATAAAACACTATTAAGTAAATTCGATTTGTAATACACCGTAACGCTGACTGCGAATCGACTGCTTAATGCTAATACGCGTTTCAGCTTGCCTCCGATCTAAAGAAATAAACCGTTTCGGCTCGCTGATAGAACACCCACTTAATGCGTAGTGTTTTTAAAAAATGAGATCGAATAGCAATAGCCATGCAATTATCACGAAGCACCATTAGGCACACCGTGGAAAAATTAAAATCATCGTAACCATTCTTTTCTTTATTATTATTTAATGAAATTTTTAAATACAGTAATAAAAAAAGGATTAAAGGATAGCATAGGTACGGCTTATAAAAAATACAATAAATAGATTGACTCTATTAAGCGCAATGCGGTTAGGGCTTTAGAATGAGAAACCTAATCGTGATACTCACCGTATCAAAAATGACTGCTTTCTGTAGCCCTTAAGAACCTTTTTGCTGTGAAATCGCGCATCGCCGCAGTCCGTCAAGTACCACATACCTCGCGTGCCCCCTAGACACGAATACCTCCTATGAGGTTCGGCACCATGCAGGAAAAAAAAGCCTGGTTCTGGTCTAGCGGGGTATTCTGGGACACCAACAGAACCGTCTGGGCGACCTGACAGACTGCCGTACCGACACGGCCGACGTTTCAGAGCCTTCGATTCGCCTCGAAGGTTCCATTGGCCGGGCGTCCTTGGGGTAAGCTGCGCCGTCTTGTTGTAGTGTTGACCGCGGTAACCCCCTTCCTTACCTCATCCGGTTTCTGACCTCGGAGGGGATCGGACGCTTGGGCGAAGAGTGCAGGGGAGTCGTTTAGAGGGTAGGGCCCTGAAAACATCCTTGGACCCGTGGTCTCGCAGTCGCGGACCAATTCCACGTACCCCACGCGCCCTCTAGCCGCGGAGAGCTCGTAGGAGGTTCGGCCACCGGACCGAAAAAAAAAAAAAAAAGGCGGTATTTGCTTCTTTTTTTTTATTGCCCTTGTAGGCAGGCGAGCTTACGGCCCACCTGATGGTGAGTGGTTCGCCCATGGACTTCAGCAATGCCAGGGGCAGAGCCAAGTCGCTGCCTACCGTTAAGTACTCTCCACAAGCCTCGTTTGAAGAATGATATATTATGTCATAGCGCTCGGGAAACACCGTGGAGGGGAGCTCGTTCCATAGCATTTTAGGAGAGGACCTGTCGCTGCCGCGCGTCGTTTCTACGATGCTCGGTAGTGAAGCATCCTGGAAGGCGAGTCCATCATATCACAAAAAGAGGCGGCGGAACGAGGGGGGGAGAGCTCTCAAAATTAAAACAAATAGAAAATAGTTTTATATACACTTACAAATAATAAAAAATTCGGGTCGCTATCGTTATGTATAAAATATAAAAACTGTTTAAGTTTTGACTTCCTATTACATCTAATATATAAAATTCTCGTGTCACAGTTTTCGTAGCCATACTCCTCCGAAACGGCTTGACCGATTTTGATGAAATTTTTTGTGCTTATCTGGTATCTATGAGAATCGGCCAACATCTATTTTTCATCCCCCTAAATGTTAAGGGTGGTCCACCCCTAAATTTGATTTGTTATTTTTTGAACAAAAATTTTTGTTTTTATTTTTTTATGATACAGCATACAAAAATACATACAACCCTAAATTTTCATCCCTCTACGATCAACCCTTATTTTTTATTTGCTAATTAAAACTAAATTTTTTTGCGAGAATTTTGTTTTTATTTTGTCATGACGTAGAATAAAAAAAATCATATTACTCTGAAATTTTCACCCCTCTACGATCAACCCCTATTTTTTATTTGTTAATTATAAACTTTAATTTTTAGATTTTCATTTTAGATTTTCATTTTCATTTTTATTTTTATTTTGTCATGAATTAAAATAAAAAATCTGATGTTACTCTAAATTTTTCATCCCTCTATGATCAACCCCTATTTTTTATTTGTTAATTATAAACTTTAATTTTTTCGCAAGTTTTTTATTTTATTTTGTCACTAGCTGACCCAGCAAACGTTGTGTTGCCTTAAATAAGATATCTAGGGAAATTCTACTGTAGAAAAAAAAACCTCATTTAACCACATAATACCTCATTATAAATAAATAAAAAATATCCAAAAAATTAAAATAAAAAATAAATGTTTGGGGTGGACTACCCTTTTCACTTAGGGGTATGAAATAGATAGTAGCCGATTCTCAGACCTACTGAACATACTATTGATACACAAATAAAACCAAAAAAATATGGCTGAAAAATGTATAGTATTGTATAGCTCTCAAATATATTAAGTGTATAATCTAAGATGTATAGTGAGTAAGTAAGACAGGAGACCGGCTTCGTCCTCATCCCTACTACGTGATGTTTGCTGGATGAGTGGTGACACCTGGCGGGGATAGCTGATCGATTGATAGTTGATCAATAGTCGGCCGGCGAGGCCGGGAGATCAAATTCAATTTAAAAAAAATCTTAATTAAAGGAACTTGAAATTATAAATTCTGAATTAGAATTTATCGTACTACAATTATAATATTTGATTGCCATCTTGCAACCTTATTGCGGATCTGTGCATAGAAAAAAAAAAAAAAATCGGATGGAAAAATAGGGGTTGATCATAGAGGGATGAAAAATTTAGAGTAACATCAGATTTTTTATTTTAATTCATGACAAAATAAAAATGAAAATCTTGCCAAAAAAATTAAAGTTTTTAATTAGCAAATAAAAAATAAGGGTTGATCGTAGAGGGGTGAAAATTTAGGGCTGTATGTATTTTTGTATGCTGTATCTTAAGGCTGTATCATAAAAAAAAAAAAAAAAATTTTTGTCTAAAAAATAACAAATCAAATTTAGGGGTGGACCACCCTTAACATTTAGGGGGATGAAAAATAGATGTTGTTCGATTCTCAATTCTGACAGATATGCACGCTAAGATTCACGAAAATCGGTCGAGCCGTTTCGGAGGAGTATGGGAACGAACATTGTGACACGAGAATTTTATATATTAGATAATGAGGTATTATGTGGTTAAATGAGGTTTTTTTTCTACAGTAGAATTTCCCTAGATATCTTATTTAAGGCAACACAACGTTTGCCGGGTCAGCTAGTTAATTATATAAAACGCGCCAAAACTCGCGGTAGTTGAATTTGACATAATTTAATTTGAGGTCACCGATGCCGATGTCTGCAAACAAACAAAAATTCAAAATGCTTAACGATGAAGTTTTCCTTGAGAAACGATTTTGGTAATTCTGGTGTTAAATGTATCTGTTTCTAAATGATGCATTTTGTTATAACAGGATTGGATAGAACTTAAAAAAAATATTTTTTATTGCTTAGATAGGTGGACGAGCTCACAGCCCACCTGGTGTTAAGCGGTTACTGGAACCCATAGACATCTACAACGTAAATGCGCCACCCACCTTGAGATATAAGTTCTAAGGTCTCAGTATAGTTACAACGGCTGTCCCGCCCTACAAACCGAAACGCATTACCGCTTCACGGCAGAAATAGGTAAGGTGGTGGTACCTACCCGTGCGGACTCACAAGAGGTCCTACCACTAGTAATATCAATAACATGCAGGATTATTTCGTTTTAGATCGAAGATGACGCGTACCAAGAAGATTTAGGATACACGCGAGGCACGATCGGCAAGTCTAGCACGGGCCGAATCCGACTACCGCAAATCGACGAGAAAACGAAGGTCCGCATCAGCAAGACATTGCAAAAGAACTTACAGAAACAACAGCAGTACGGCGGTGCTACCAGTATTAGAAGACAAGTATCTGGTACTGCGTCTTCTGTGGCCTTCACGCCTCTACAGGTATTTAATATGTTCCTATATAGTCGGTTTTTTCTTGCTAGATGTAAAATATGTACTTAATCATTATCTAATTGATATGTATATGTATTTTAATTTTTTTTACCGATAAATATACCGTGGTTATTTTGTTCGTTTAAAAAATTAAAATCTAAAAAAAAAATGTAGTGATAACAATTTTACCACAATATATAAAATTAAAAATTAATTTAAAAAGTTAATCAATTTCATAAATATAAATAAATACCAGTCAATTACACTTTATTGAGGCCTTAAAACTCATGTCTCAAGGTGGGTGGCGGCAATTACGTTGTAGATGTCTATGGGCTCCGGTAACTACTTAATACCAGGTGGGTCGTGAGCTCGCCCAACTATCTAAGCCAGCGGTCGGGAAACTTTTTTAATTATTACCCCAAAATATTTTTGTGTAATTTGATATTACCCCATGGCAAAGAACAAGACAAAAACGAATTCTCTTCTTTTTAGCATCTTTCATATTATAGCCCCCATGGTAATTTTGAAAAGAAAACAATAACTAAAAATTTAATATAAACAACATTTATCAAATTTATCAATGTAATGCCTAGTAATACATAACGGTGATAATAGTAATTTATGGAATATACGGTTGAGGAAAAAAAAAATTGCCCCCACAAAAAATATAAGTAAATGATAATTTCTTGTTATTTTATAATTCGCTATAGTGAGTAACTTCAATATTTGGTTTTTTTTTTACGAAAGCCGAAAAACCATTAATGTGACCCAGTATAGCTGGAGCTCTATCCAAAGATACAGAAATACAGTTTCATTTCGTTTCATCGAGTTTCAAATCACAACGATTCTAAAGAAGTTTCACTTCAATATATACTTTTTACTCACAAAAATTTCATTTTTACCCCCCAAAATTTCATTTTACCCCATTTGGGGTAATTTACCCCGGTTCCCCGATCGCTGATCTAAGCAATAAATAAAAAAATATATTAAAAAGTTAAATTTAATGATTAATTTACATTCCGAAAGTCTTGACGAATATAACCTATTGGCAGGTTTTTTTTTCATTCTTATTACACAATAATAAACATAAAAATTAATTTTCAATAGAACGTTTGAATTTTTGTATTTATATAAAATCACATTGACCATTTGTCGTATTGTGATTTTGCGAGTTAATGACCGCAAAACACGCGCTAATCGGTTAAAATATGAAGTCCTGTTTTCCGCGGGTACACATTCCAATATGTCGGCATACGGAACGCCATCAAAATAACGTATAATAATATGTCTCACGTTAGCCAGGATTAAGGATATTATCCAATTACTCTACTTATTCTCGTAATGTCTTTAAATTACTATGCTCCTGTTCTTTTAATAAGGTCACACGACGTCATATAATATTACATACGTGAAAACATTCTAGTTATTCAAAATACTATGATGGATTATGGCTTATTGAATTTTCTTAAGTATTGTCTATAATATTTGTAAAATGCACATTAGATGATATTTCGATATTAACTATGTTATATTACCAAATATATACATTACTAGCTGACTCGGCAGACTTCGTAGTGCCTCTATCGACAAATAAAAGACCTAAGCTTTTGTATAAAATAAACTTAAAACAAACAAAAGGATTCGTCCGACGGGACACATCAAAGGAAATACAAAATTGTTATTTTTATTTAATTTCGAGCATTTTCATATTTATCTACCTTTTAAACCTTCTCTGGACTAACACAAATAATTCAAGACCAAAATTAGCCAAATCGGTCCAGCCGTTCTCGAGTTTTAACGAGACTAACGAACAGCAATTCATTTATTTATATATATATATATATATATAGATTACCATATAAATACAGCCGCCATTAATGAGTACTTTCTTTGTTTTTAATTCGTCTAAATACATTTTCTGGGTTCAGTCTCTCACGATTTCGTTTGTATCCAATTGAGAAAATCGTCTCGTTAAGATTTGTATGCGTCGATTTGTTTTACATCAAACAATGGTTATATGCAAATGTACGTTGTCCGTTACATACAACGGAGGTCAAAATAAATCTCTGTGTAAGAATGGTACTTAAAAGAATCGCATTTCTTGCTTTTATTTATAACGAATGTTATGCGGCTAATAAGAATATGATTTTTTATGTATGTGCCTCTCCAAAACTCCATTGAAATTATTTAATTGAAATAGAAGTGTTTTCGAACTATGCTTAAATCTATATATATATAAATAAAATTGGTTTGTCTGTTTTTAATATTAAAATGGCCGCTTTTTACTACATGCATATGAATATATATACGGTACATACACCAAATTAACATTTTTTTACAATTTTTGTCTGTCTGTCTGTTTGTTCCGGCTGATCTCTGGAACGGCTGGACCGATTTTGACGGGACTTTCACTGATAGGTAGCTGATGATATAAGGAGTAACTCAGGCTACTTTTTTAGACTAGCTTCGCCCCGCGGCTTCACCCGCGGTACGACAATAACATCGCGGGACTTGGCTATCAATAATAAAATTTAATGTTCCGAAGCGAAGCGAGGGCGGGTCGCTAGTCAATAATAAAATTTAATGTTTCCGAAGCGAAGCGAGGGCGGGTCGCTAGTATAATATAAGCTACACACCCGGTGAAGCCAGAATAGCCCCTCAAGATTATTGGCAGTATAAGCAACAACAAAAAAATACTACGCCCCTGTCCCGTGAGGCAGGGAGCCCATAGCCTAGGCAGAGGGGGTTGCCCCGAAGTATGATCACAATGACCCACGATGTTTCATAATCGGGCCTGTTTCCATCGCGAAGGAATAACACGTTCATCGGTCTATCCCGAAAAAAAATTATTCCAAGTAAATAAGCAGTTGCTTTAAACAGTTGCAACTAACAAAGACGATTTCCGAAAACTAATTAACTGATAGAATCCAGTGATATTCGTTCGGAGAACGGTTTCTATTTGTACGTTGCTATCGGATTTTAATAGTCCGAAGGTACGAGACCGGTACAATCGAGTAATGTTTTCTCTACACCATGGCATGTGGGTAGATCGGTATGTGTATTGTTGTGTATCACCCGACGAATCGTGTTACAGACTTATGAAATTTACTTTTCTACGGTTAATATTAATACGTACTTAAAAAATAAACACTATGTCTTTGCTATTTGCCGCTTTTCCTCGTAAATGGTGAACGTTAAACAGGATTTATTTCATACGGCCAGAAAATTACATAATAAAAATATATCCGACTTTAGTGGGTCTAATATCCTATTACCTAGCACAGTAGTAGTATCCTTATCCTAATCCTTCAACTAATTCCTATCATTCCTGTACCTATTCTTGTTGTTGGCAAGGTGCTTACGACGCTCTGCTTAGTATTACCGTCTTATCTATATTTGCCTCGAAACCATCACGCATTCCGGCTTATGGATAGTGCAGCAGTTTTATTTTTTATTTTTTAGATGGATGGACGAGCTCAGAGCCCACCTGGTGTTAAGTGGTTACTGGAGCCCATAGACATCTACAACGTAAATGCGCCACCCACCTTGAGATATAAGTTCTAAGATCTCAGTATAGTTATAACGGCTGCCCCACCCTTCAAACCGAAACGCATTACTGCTTCACGGTAGAAATAGGCAGGGCGGTGGTACCTACCCGCGCGGACTCACAAGAGGTCCTACCACCAATATTACAAGATAACAGAGTTGTCGACCTTATGTGTCATGGTCGGCGGTGGTATTCATGTAATCGCACCGCCCGCCACCGGAGTAGAGTTCATCCATACGACCTGGAGCCACTGCGGTCATCCACAGTGCGTTTCCAGAGGTCTTTTTTGCCACGTACCATCCGGCTATGTAATGAGCTCCCCTCCACGGTGTTTCCCGAGCGCTATGACATGTCCTTCTTCAAACGAGGCTTGTGGAGAGTATTAAGCAGTAGGCAGCGACTTGGCTCTGCTCCTGGCATTGCTGAAGTCGATGGGCGACGGTAACCACTTACCATCAGGTGGGCCGTATGCCCGTCTGCCTACAAAGGCAATAAAAAAAAAAAAAAGATATATATATATATATCCGACTTATGTGTCATGGTCGGCGGTGGTATTAATGTAGTCGTGGAGTAGTGTCGAAGCAACCGATCGCACGTGAAAAGACTTGAGAACTTAAAGCTTCTAAAATAATAATAAAACAATGTGGAAGTAAAAGAAATATGACTTCGAAGTTTGATGAGACGACGGAGGAAATGAAATCCGAAACGAAGCATGGGAGATACAGATGAAAGCAAATTATGTGTCATAGGGCGTTGACCCGATCGCAAATAACAACAAAAACAGTCAAAGTTTTACTGTTTATTTTCCGTCGCATCTTACGTTATATCATATTGATTGATGATACGCCTTTATGGACCTTCGCGTGCAGCGGTTCGTAAATCGATTTTCTGTTCATACGTCATAAAAAAAAACCATAATCGATAATATCAATAGGGACGTTTTCTTTCTGCGACCGAATCGGTTTCGGGTCACACGTCCGTTATGTTTAAGGGCCCTTTTGTAGGTCTCGGCTATGACATTCAACTTGAACCATCATACGAACACGAAAAACCAGTCAACCGTGGCGAATTAGATACAAACCATACATTTATAGATTTAATGGTCGGCTCTTCCGTCGAACGCTCGCGGCGCGGCGTGAGAACAAGCACCATCAATTTACTTTACTACGTCGAAGAGCCCTGCGCTGAAATATCCCATTACCCGAGCGAAAGTTGAAATCAAAGATGCTTAAGTGAATATGCGCCTTTCGGCATAATCATTTTCCAGTATTTTCTCCGTATGATTTTGCAATCAAGATAAAATCAGTTCAGTAATGTCTGTAAGTGAATCGCAATTTTGAGCAAAAGAAAGATCTAGAAAAAGTTCGATGTTCGAAACACTTATAATTCATTTCCTGTACCAAATTTATATTATTTAAAAAAATAAACGGAAAATAACGTGTTTGAGGTTATAACTTAATTGAAATTTTCTCATGGTAACGTCCACAAAATGAGGCAGCAGAACATTATAATGATGTTTTTACTTCATTAATATTCATGAAATGCACTTGAAAACATTAAAATGGTGTCAACTATAATAATTAATTTAAAAAACATGTAAAAGTAATCCTACAAATAAACGATCTTCATGAATTCGCCACAAGAAACGTTGCGTGGACGGACGGACGGTCAGTCTCGAATATAGCAGACAGGCGGGCCCTAGAGAAAATCGCACATCGCCATTTCAGACAGTGTAATCGGGTCTAGGGATAGGAACTTTCACCGTTTACATTTCGCTTTGTGGAATTTGTGTTATGGGAATGGCGACGCCCTTCGCTACACGCTGAACGTTGTTAAGCCTTGTCTGCTATCAGATATAAATCGATTGATGGAGTATTTATGTTGTCTTGTTATTTGTACGTTGAATTATTCTTGTTTCGTATTTTAGCCATTAAATGGTCTGGTTCTTATATAAATGACTGGAAATCGTGGAGCTTATACAGAGTTAGTTGAATAAAGAATTATAATATGTCAAGTAATTTTTTTATTTTCTTAGTCTAGTGGTGGCAAGACCTCTTATGAGCTCGCGTGGGCCCACCCTATAATGCGTTTCGCTTTAAACGGCAGGGCTGCCACTGTAGTATAAAACTGAGACTTGGAAGGTGAGTCTTAAGCTGGTCCCGCCATCTAAGTAATAAAAATATCTAACGTTTAATGGGTTATTATTATTTATTTGATTTACTAATTTACTTTAGCTAGACTTAGCCGTAGAGGAATCCGTAGGAGGAATGAAATTGAATCACACCACTATTCTTTTCATTCATTACCGTTCTTTCAACCACGCGGGAAAAAAAAACGATGTTCAAAAATAGTTTTTTTTTGTCTGTTTTCCCTATCCACGTTTTAGGGGGGATATTACGCTTCTAGTACACACACAGCTTATGTTAGATCGTGGTTACAAAAATAGAATCTTAGCAAAACGACAATTATATTATACATATTTATTTCAGTAATCGTAAGTGTAATCGGTACATTAGAAATAGTAGAAACATAAGACAGTGGTTAATTGACATTTCTTGTAGAACGTTTACACCCGATGTACCGTACGTAATTTTGATTTATAGTTGGCGTACTGGATCAGTCTTTTGTTCTAAACATAGACAGCGAAACTGAAGGTATTCTAGATATGCTGATGTATTTACATAACATAATAGATGTAGGTACGGCGTTGGCGTTATTGCGAGTGCTATACATTATTACGATTGGCACGCCCTCCTCTCGACCGATGTTAACCGCCACATCTGTTCTTCAAGTCAGTGTCTCTCAAATTTTATTTATTTATTGTATAAATTTAACACTTTTAAAGATATTCATGTATCTACCTACGGGTCGATGTCGTTTACTAGTTTAAAAATTAAACCGATGTCTAGCATCGAAGAACGGAGACACGAGTTATAATTAATTTTATTTGTTCCAGTGTCCATTTGCTCGACATCTCTGATCATCTGTTTAATGTTTATTTTAATAGTATTCAGTTTAGTGTTTATTTTAATAGCCCTTAAATAACATGAATGAATATTAATATGGACGTTTCAATGGCACGGATAACACAGAACCTCCAAATGATCATCGTTATTACTATTACCCAATTACGTTTAAAGTGTTTCAAATAATCTACTCGCATTAAATATTAAAATTAATCGTAAAATCGGATCTTCTTATTCTTTTTTGCCTTTCGCGGTTGAAACGATGGGCCCTTGGGGCCCTGAAGCAAAGAAATTTTTGTCAGAAATCTCCAAACGCTTGAAGGAGGCTACACGTGATGCTAAGGCTAGCTGATATTTTGCACAGAGAGTGAGTCTGGCTGTCCAACAAGGTAACGTAGCCAGTATCTTGGGAACTGTGCCTCCTTCAAGCGCATTGGAAGATTTGTTCTACTGTGTGAGTTAATTTAAAAATTAAAGATAAACATTAGACAATTTTTTTTTTTATCATAATTACTATTTATCGTAAAATAACTAACATTCATTTATAGTAGATATTTCTTTTTTCATTCAATTGACATGTTTATTAAGCTAACATAGTTTCTAAGGAAATGTTTAGGAAGCTTCGCCGTAACCGATTCGAATCAGCAAAACATTATGCCCTCTCGTCTCTCTTACAGCGATGCTCTTAAGATATCCTTTTATAGGGTTATTGAAGAGAAAACTTTGAAGTTTGATCTGTAAACTAAACTAAACAATGATTGCTCTTGTACGCATATCTAGATATTTATTATTACCTCGATGAGCAGATAAGCTCTCTCAGCCCACTCGGTATTAAATGGCACAGCTCATAGGCATCAAAATGTCATTACCCCCCTTGACATACTGTCGAAGTATCAATTTTATTGCATAACGGCATTGGCAAAGTACAAACTGAAACGCATGATGTTTTGGTGGTAGGTACCCGTAGAGAGTACACCCTGCCCACTAGTAATTATGCAAATTTTCCTGCGATTCATGTTATCTATACTAATATATAATAAAACTGAACCATGCATCCGATTGACTTGAAACTTGGTATCCATGTAGAAAATACATGTACTTAATGGATAGGCTAATATTTATATGAGTGTTGGACTCCCTAGTGACTCCTCCGTTAGTGATGAGAATCTTTGTGGGGTTGAGAAATAATAACGTTAATTTTAAATGCCCAGCGAAACAGGCGGGTACAGCTAGTGTGATATATAATGAGCATATTTCTTTAAAAAATCCTACCCATCTGCAGGATTTGTGCCCCGGCAAAGTCGCATCTCGTGGCTATTCTTCTTCTAGCTTCTATAACGTCAGAAACTGTTTTATTGATTATAATGATTACATACTGTACACTGTCCATATTGTACAATTATCATAATAAGAAAATGAAGCAACATGATATAGAGGAAAACATTGAATAGATTGTGCTGTAATCAGTGGTAATTGCAGTACTTGTCACAGCTTGTGCCGATATATACGAGTAGTACTATTCATGAGTTTCGTCGTTGATTACGCGTAATCTCAAGCTTTTCTGATTGCATAAAAAATTGGTTGTCTGTAAAGTCGGTTTACGGACGATAGTTTTACGTGATAACGTCATAAAGAAACATTGCATGAATTTTATGAATTTAATTGAACGTTTATAGGTAACTGAATTATTATTATTTTGTATAATACAAAAAGGTATTATTTTCGATTATTTTTATTTTCGTTAAATTAACGCTTGGGCCGATCGTGCGTCTCTATCGCTTGTTCCGCGCTCTCGCTTGCACGCTCAGTCTCAAGCGGAACGTGACACTTTTTCGAGCGTGCAGCCGGTGTTCATCGATTTATAAGATGTTATTATCGTGTCAAAAACGTACAGAAGTATGTTGTATATTTGATTGAGCCTAGTACAAAACAAAACATTAATTGTATAAGTTTTGAAGGCAAAAGTAGACGATTGGTGCGGGTTAATAAGCGATCTGACAAATTTAATATAAAAATAAAATCCGTTTTATGAATTTGTAAACTTTTGTAAATACAAATACACGAATGTTGGTCTCAGAGTTGTGTAGTTGTGTAATTGCTTCTTTTTTTTATACGAACCTATTTTTTAGTTGAAATCGTCAACGAAGTTTATAGTACTTTAGTTTCTTAAACTGTCCATGCCTGATTCGTGTGGATGAACCCTTTGAATGGCGATAAAATCGATGACGTTATAGAAACAAAATATAATAAAAGGATTTAAAAAACCAAACCTCAACAAAATGATATGCACCACGAACAGGCAATTTACCGGACAAACCAAGTCATTACTTACTTACTTTGTACTATATATTCTTGCCCACTGAGTTTCTCACCGGATCTTCTCAGTGGGTCGCGTGTTCCGATCCGGTGGTAGATTCAGCCAAGCACTGCTCTTACTAGGGCCTGTGTTAGCAACACCTCCTGGTTTGAACTCCGAGAGCTCACGTACACGCTAGGGTAACGCTGATTGATATAGCCTCAATGCTATCAGCATAGGTAGGGAGAAAAAATGTAGGCAGTTCTAATATTGGGCAGTCGAATTCTTATTATAACTATATAAATTGATATACCACGAAAGCTAAAGTACATATTATTATGCATATGGTCACTGGTGGTAGGACCTCTTGGGAGTCCGCACGGGTAGGTACCACCACCCCGCCTATTTCCGCCGTGAAGCAGTAATGCGTTTCGGTTCGAAGGGTGGGGTAGCCGTTGTAACTATACTGAGACCTTAGAACTTATATCTCATATATCTATGTCTAGGAATGAGATCTAGCTGTCAAACGTGGTAAGAAGTTTTATATAAACCTGCTTCTTTCTAACGCGAAGCAATCGGGTGTTCCAATTTGCTGGGATAACCATTATTATAAGTAGAATACCGATTAATATATTCCAATTCAGAGCTCCAACTCTTTCTTTTTCGATTTCGTATTTTTAGTGCGGGCAGTGGCATTCTCGCTGTGGATTCTTAAGGGCTTCGGTAACCTAGTGACATAGGTTGGTCGTGAATTTATCGAACATTAACACACATTCCTGACCTATTGATCATGATCGTGTAGTAAAGAAAATCATATTGACATGAATGATTAACTTCCAGTGTTATTTATTGTCTTACGGATAATTCCAATTAGCATTACGTTTTACGTTCATTGCTTTTAAAGACATTTATCTTCAATGTACTTACTTGGTCGCAATTCGACCCGAAAAACAATATTTAAAGTAAAAATGAAATAATCACTATAGGTATAATTGTTCACAGGGTTTGGAAATCGTCAATCCTCAAGCCGCAGAAACTAGGACCAACGAAGGCAATGCCAAGTATTTCTCTAATACATCCGGGTTCTTATCTGTGGGAAAGAAATCTGATTAAATTAAATATTTTGCGTTTTTTTTTTCCACTTTTTTTCCTTCCGCTGAAACTCTCCTGATACGGCGTTTGAAGAACAAAGAAATATATTATTATGTCATAACGCTCGAGAAATACTGTGGAGGGGAATTCATTTTAAAGTTCAGTTCATATCGTGCCGTGCTACATATCATTGGAAACGCTCTGTGGATGAACGCTGCATTGCCAACTAGAATGGATGAATTCTGCTCCGGTAGCTGGAATTACCGTGATAAAAAGGAGATGATGAGATCATCTCGAATAAGTCTTCAGAGCCATCCTCAGAGAACATAATATTATTATGCTACAAAATACAGAGGTTTTAAGACACTAAGTCACGTTCTACACATTTCTATGCATAAAATTTTCGGATTTTGTTAATTTACACCATTTCAAGGTTTACATGCAAGAATGTTCTTTATAATAATAAAATAAATATGAACATTGTTCAAAAAGCCGAATTTAATAGCATTCGCAATTTCCACGATTTAAAGCCAGAGTAAATACAGATTTCACAGTTTTACAGTTTTGTATTCATTCCCCATTTATTGTAACAAAAGGTTTGATATTTTTCCATTTCTAATCCATATATTTTTTTCTGTAAATTCTTATTTTTAAACTGCATGACATAACCAGAAATAGCTGGATCATTTTTTTTATTTTAAATATAATTTTCAACAGCGCTGCAAATACGAAACTTTAAAAAAACAAACGAAGAATTTATTAATAAAAAATTTTATGTTTAAATTATTTAATGTGCAAGTTTTTCTGTTTCGGACACACTTCATGTAAGACGAAACAAGTGGTTCATATGAGAACTCCCACTAAGTTTCTCGCCGGATCTTCTCAGTGGGTCGCGATTTCGATCCGGTGGTAGATTCTGCGAAGCACTGCTCTTGCTAGAGCGCTAGTGTTAGCAAATTCACTCAGGTTGAGCCCGTGAGCTCACCTGCCCGTCCGGGCTTAGCTGGAATAGCCTCTTAGGTTACCAAAGAATGGGTAGAGGAAATAATATATGAAAACATCGATGCAAGTTAAAATGATTGCAATTGATTCGTGTACGAGTAAGTGCTTCCATTATGTAATATTAAAATTCGCAACCGCTTAAGTAATAATGTAATGTATGTAATTTAAATTCTTATTTGTCTCAGATTAACAAAACACGGAGCTGTAAACGTTTCTCGTTTAAATTTACATTTACACAAAGATTACCTACTGGTGGTAGGACCTCTTGTGAGCCCGCGCGGGTAGGTACCACCACCCTGCCTATTTCTGCCGTGAAGCAGTAATGCGTTTCGGTGTGAAGGGTAGAACAGCCGTTGTAACTATACTTGAGACCTTAGAACTTATATCTCAAGGTGGGTTTACGCGTTTACGTCGTAGAATGTCTATGGGCTCCAGTAACCACTTAACACCCGGTGGGCTGCGAGCTCGTCCGACCATCTAAAAAAAAAATCTAGATCGCTTTTTAGAACGTTCTTTTATTGTTCGGTGTAGGTATGCAAGCACAATGCCACATATAATGTTGCATATGAGCAAAACAACAATACGAATTCGGTGCAGTCACAAAATTTCCACCTCTCTAAAAACGCCGTCTAAATTCATTTGTCTGCTCCCAATGTGATGATTTATTTTCATAATTCACTATTCACGAGAGCGCATTAGAATTTGTAAGAACAAGCCGCAAATGTTTAAGAGTTCGTCTTATTATGGTGCGGTCAACGTAGCGGTAAGTCGGTCGCGCACCGTCCGACTATCTCGGTGATTTCACTTCGAGACTGGGGATCTCAGCTAATGCAATGTCAATGTTCAGCTCAAAAAATGAAAGGGTTGTTGTTGTTAGTGTGTTACTTTTTTTTTAAATACATATCGTAGTTTTGTTGCATGCTACTTACTTTTAGGCGCGAGTGTTACAGCTCTCTAAAAATATGGTAATCAAATAGGTATTTAAAAAATAATATAATACGAAAACCGGAGATAAGTCACTATGGATACTGATATGACATACTTAGATACGTTGAAATATAGATATTAAACACCAAAGAAAAACTACGAATGTTAGTCCGATGTGGAAATCGAACCCACGACCCTCGGCCTAACAGTGAGGTGCGCTGACCACTGGGCCACTGAGTTAGTCCAAATATTGGAATTTTCCGCATCAGCAAACGTAGGTACGTTAGAAGGACTTAATAAGTGGGTTGCTCATAACTCATATAAGCAAAGAATTGTAACGCGACTGGCCTTATCCACAGTGAAAAAGAATGTCCGTCGGTGGGTTAGTCAAGGCTGTTTTATTAATAAGTTTGCAGGTAAATGTTGCTTAACACGGGAGAGATAATATAGAACAATGTTCTCACAGTGCCGGCACGGTGTAAACAAACCACGCCTAATACGTTAGGTATAGTGGCCAAATGTGGTATCGACAGATATGACCTACTTATCAATCGGCAACGCTTTAACTAAGATTTTTGATGCTAAAGTAAACTAATAGGAAAATCATTCTTAATAATATATTTTTAAAACGATTATTTTTCAGATACGTTGCTATTTTAAAGGCCGGTACAACAGTTTGATGGTCACTAAAACTGACTTTTTTTATTGCTTATATGGGTGGACGAGCTCATAGCCCATCTGGTGTTAAGTGGCTACTGAAGCCCATAGACATCTGCAACGTAAATGCGCCACCCACCTCGTGATATAAGTTCTAAGGTCTCAGTATAATTACAACGGCTACCCCACCCTTCGAACCGAAACGCATTACCGCTTCACGGCGGAAATAGGCGGGGTGGTGGTACTTACCCGTGCGGCCTCCCAAGAGGTCCTACCACCAGTGATTACGCAAATTAAAATTTTGCGGGTTTGATTTTCACTACACGATGTTATTCCTTCACCGTGGAGGTCAATCGTGAACATTTGTTGAGTACGTATTTCATTAGAAAAATTGGTACCTGCCCGCGGGATTCGAACACCGGTGCATTGCTACATACGAATGCACCGGACGTCTTATCCTTTAGGCCACGACGACTTCTAAGTTCTTCTTCATTTAAGTATTACAGAGAAACAGACTTTATCACATAACGCTATAACATCAATTGTATTTATTGTATTTAATCGGCACGCCCTATCTAGTGTTTAGTTTTTTCACGAGCCACCTGGTGTTAAATGGTTTCCGAAGCTCATAGGCATAACGTGTGATGCGTTCCAATGTAGCACTTATGGCTCGTAGAGGTAGTTTGCTACCTACTACTAAGAGTTTTATAGTACTTTTTTTTTAAATTTTACTTGCTTGTTCGTAGCTTGTTCGAGTTCGTAGTCCCAATTTCAGTGAGCTGAAGTAGGTACCTCTTTCTGGTTTTGTTTTTATGATTTACTGGTGGCCTGGAAGCCTTTCCAGTTTCACCAGGACAGGTGGGCGAGCAAAGGCTCAGCCAGAAGGGGTGGGATTTGCTAATAACTGCCCAAGCTCCTCCGAAGGAGACCTAACAACTCAAGAGCAATTGCTTCGCGAATGAATCTACTACCGGATCGGAATCGCGACCCGTTGAGAAGATCCGGCAAGAAACTCAGCGGGCTGATGCATGGGTTAGGTTGCACGTCGAGTTCGACGAGTACGGTTACCGGGGTCCCTAAGCCTGCTCGTAGTGTTAGAGCTGAAGGCATCTAATGTAAAGATTATTGGATCTGATGGATCCGTAAGGACGTGTCTACGGCGGATTATTTTACGAGGGTCAAATATTTCAATGTCAATTTCAAGAACCGAAAATACTTCCTTATGATATTTAGATGTAGATAGCCCTGAACAAGCCTCGCAAGTCCGCCTACGTATTTTTATTCTATCTTAAATAAATTAATGCGCTTGTAATTCGTTCATTTTATTACCTTTGTAGGCGGACGGCCCATCCGATGGTAAGTAGTTACCGTCGTTCATGGATATCAATAACGCCAGGCGCACAGCCAAACCGCCGCCTTCATTCTTTACCCCGAGATAAAAATAAAAAGTCACTTCGCCCCCCCCCCCCCCCCCCCCCCCGTGAAAGGGTAGACTAACAAACTTTCGTTTATAATGCTTTACTACAATGTGTTTCATTTTAAAGACGGTCATTATCGAAATCGTTTCATATTAAAAATTCTAAGCACGTTTGCGTAAAAACGTTTTCGTGGAACGCATTCTATTTTTGGGTTAAGCATATTATTACGTAAAACAAAACATTTAATGTAGAGAACAAAATGCCCTTTAATGTAAGTGTAATGGAATGAAGCAGTAAATCCGATCGACGATTATTACACAACAGTTCACTTGTTCGGGCACGACGGACATTTACCGTAGATTTAAAAGGAATACTTACCGTCTTGGTTGTAGTTTCCCTGTGTTACAATTTGTTACGTAAAGATGAACAGGCCCCGCTGAATAACTAAACTGTTGGCAAATACACATGGCCACATAGTTTTAGGGTCTCGGCTTATCGTCATCTCGAGTGAATTAACTGACGCGGCTAGAATTGCACTGAAGAAAGCGTTGGTCTAATTACAGCGGTTCAAAAAGTGTAACCGGAATTGTGCCTTCTTCGGTTCCATCTCTTAATGAAGCTGTAAATAGATCGTTAGTAAATACTTCATTAGAGGAAGATTAGAGATAATTTTTTTTATATATGAAAAAGTCTTGAAAAAATCGATAAGCTCATCAGAATATTCCAATATTTTACAGCTTTCTTAAAGCGTGAAATGATGTGATTATAGTATTATGAAAATAATGAACGTTGTTGTTAAATTTTGGATTTATATTATAATTTCATTTAAATCAATCTTTATCCTGAACAATTCGATAATATAAAAACTTTCTAAATTATGTACTATAAGTGAGGCTGTACGTTGTTATTGTAAATATGGTATTCCATTTTTGTTAATCCTACAATAAAGATGTAATCGTTTTTGTAAAATACCGCGATCCGCTCCGTACAATGACCTTTTAAAATTTTATTACCCCTTTTTGTTGTAATAAACGAAAT